GGTCTTGGCGCGAGGAAACAACTAGTTGTATTATTGCTCCTGGCCTTTCGATTAGGCCTCCAGCTCCGGCCTCTGGTTCCACCCCACTTTCTTCCCTGGCTGTGTCTTCTCCTCTACCACTGACCTGGAGCCAGGTTGAGTCACCCAGCCTTTCGTGCGTTTAGTCGTTGTATTATCGTGGCCTACGGCGGGCGCAAGCTGCGAATACAGAAGGCAAAATGGGCCACAGACCTTTCCAAATTTGGCATCAAAAATGGATGCACGCTTCGGCCCAGATAACATGTTGATATATGCCTACAGCTGGTTATTGTTTATCTCCCTACCGTGTTACGAGAGACCACCGGGAAAAGAAAAAACTGAGAGATGCCAGGAACAAGGGGCCCCCCACACCGTCACCGGCGTCAGCCCCAGCGTCTGCGCCAGCCGCAGCGCCAGCGCCGCCGGTGGCGACGCCCACAGCGTGGGGGCGTCGGGCCAGCCCCCACCGTTGCTGCCGTCGGCTCGTTTCGTGAATGCTGAGCGCCGCGGTAGGTGCTGTCGTGCCATAGCACGACGGGGTCATTGGGAGCGGCGTCCGCCCTGGACCTGAAAAGGGTTCTCAGACCCAACTTGGCCCTACGGGACGCCCGCGTCCGCCGTAGAGCCATCAGGTCAGATGACCCTTTTCAGGTCCAGGGAGGGCGCCGCTCCCATTGACCCCGCCGTGCAACAACACGGCAGCGCCAACCGCGGCGTTCAGGCATTCGCGAGACGAGCCGACGCACGTGGCGCAGGCGCTGGGGCTGGCGCCGGTGACGGCGTGGGGGGCGTCGGGTTCGCTTGTTCCTGGCCTCTTTCAAACGCGTACTTCACCGGAGTCCTCTCGTATTCACGGTCGGGAGAAAAACAATGATCGGCTGCGCATGCGTAAATATCGTGCCGAATTTGGGCTACAGCAGTAGAATTTTTACAATTTGACCTCTATCGCTGCATCCTACAAATGGTATACTGTAAGTCAGTCAATAGTACCATTCTTATCTCTTGGTCGAGAACAAAAACGAGCGCTCGTGCGTGATGTTTGATGAGCACGAGATTGCCTGCCCGCATGCCACAGCGCTGCGAGAGTGCAAATTTGAAAACTACTGCTGTAGTGGAATGTCGTGCTACGGCCAGCTCTTACCGCAACAACGGGATGCTCCTCGCTGCCCCCACAACGGGTTGTAAAACTCGTTTATCTCGTCTTGCCGCTGGCTCTGATTTCCGCCCTCGTCCTGCTGCTGCTGCTGGCGGGGCTGGCTTCTGTCAGTCGCGAGCGCACCCCTGTGGCACCCATCCGCTGCCCCCACCCCCTGGATGGGAGAGCTGGCGCTGTCTGACAGAGAGTCGAGAGAGCTCGTCGTCCGTAACGGTGGTCTGGGTTGCACCCGGAAACCGTGGCGGCCACCTGCCCGCTTCCGCCCATTTCTATCCCACCACGAGGACCAGGCAAGCCACACCAACAGGCACGATAGAAAGGCACAGGCGATGCACATCTTGGCGACGAACTCGCTGTCCGCCTGGTCCATGTGGTCGGCGATGGCGGCGACATCCTCGTCCTCCAGCAGCCGCCGTTCCGCCCCACGGCGGGGTCGGACCAAGCTCGCGCGCCTACTAATACTACCTCCGCCAACCGTACCCCACTCCATCACATGCACTCTCCCTCACCCACGCCGTAATCGTCGTCTTCGTCTGCCAGCATGCAACGAACCAGCGTGTGCCTGTCCAGCTGTCCAGTCTGCCGTGCGGCGCGTGTGTGACACATGTTCGCTACAAGCGACGGACCAAAGGACCTGCCACAAAATCAGCAGCAAGCCCAACACGCCTCCGGAACCAGCTGCTTTTTGTACTTTTAAAGAAGTAAAGAAACATATTCGAACCTCGAAGCCTCAAGTCTACATGAGCCTCTGCCAAGGCACTGCATAGCACAGCTATTGATAGCACTAGACAGCACAGCAGCTAACAGCCGTGCCGCTAGAGGTTGGGTGCTGGGGGCGTCCTCACCCCACAGTTGACAGTGCCTCTCCATTACCAGCAGTACCCGTTGCTGCTGCCGCTGCTGCTGCCGTTCTTTGCTGCGGCTTCGACTGCTTGGGGAGAGCGGGCGTAAAAGCTGATCCATCCGTCAAGACTACTCAGTCAGCGCGTCAGCGCCGATGATCCTCTTATCTATCTGTACAAGTAAAGATACTGAAAAGATACGGTTTCTTGGGCTCTGTGGCTGCTCAGCTACGGCAGACAGCAATGCTCTTTGAGGATAGCGATCTCCGCGCCACGTGCTGCTTCTGCTGCTGCTGTGAATAAGTTCCCGCCCCAAAACGGCACTCAGGCAAGGAAGGATTCAGCCATGTCATCAACCGAAGGCGCGCTCCATCAGAACATGCGGGGACGTGTTGGACTCCTTACGTACTGAAAGTTCACGGAACTGCCGCGGAATACAGACACCGAACGGAGACGAGACACGATGATATGTACAGATCGATGGCGAATCTTCGGGGGGGGAAATCCTACAAGGGTTGACGGTGTTGCAGCAGCCCTCTCTCTGGACCGTTTGAAGATCAAAAAATCACTTTGTGTCATCCCCGAGGCCATCGGTCGACAGCAACGTCATGAGTTATTTGTTGCATCCCACGGAACTACAGTGTAGTACAGCAGCTGCAGTAGCCTCGGCGCCTGAATGCATATGTACCGCAGTATACAGTAGTTGCAACTTGTATCGATGAGACTGCTTGAGAGTGAGCGCGTCTTTGTATGCATACTCCCATACTACAAATAAATGCATTTCCCATGAGGTCAACCCGAACCGAACTCAACTGCAACGGCAGAGAAAAGCAACTTCTCAGATTGCCATCGTCAACTTACTGCGGTTGTTAACATCACACCGCCGAACCATCGCCGAACCCTTGTAAAGCAACAGAAGGCCGCCCATGGGACTCTCGTTGGACGTGACAATCGTCTAGACTAATGGGCCGCCCTAGCCGTCAAAAGTTATTAAATGCATAAAGAGCGCCCGTTGAGACGCCAAGTGGACAAACTCCCAGTCACGTCAGTACTCCCTCCGTATATTTCAATTTCACCCTTAGGCTTCTCACTGTGGTGTCGGGACGTCATGTCGCAAGCACAGGAGTATTAGCGCTCAAGTGTCGCGTGGCAGACGAGGCTGTATTGGACCCACCCTTCGCGACAGACCAACTCAGTGGAGCATGTATGTTCTGTATGCCCGACGACTGTCGTTGCCCTATTTTACATTCCTTCATGATAAAACACGGACTTATCTAAAAACATCGAGATGGGTTCACGAGTCGGAAACGGCCTACCGGCATCCCTGCAGGTCCTCGCGTTACATAGAAGAGTGATTGGCAGCTCTGTGGGTACAACAGGTAGGTCAAGACACCGTGGTGGCCGTCTTGTTCTTCGGATTGTGTGCCGGCCGTCGGACTTGCACAAGATGAAGCTTGGAATGTTCTCCCTCCCTGAGATTGTGCCAAGGAATGTTCATTGCCGGTAATCATACATCGTGTATTGTGAGAAATCGGACCGCGCATAGGAGTCGCACCCCATGCCCCGTGTTTTTGCTCGCAACATTGTCGTGCTGGCTGTATCAGGGTCAGAGGTAAACGACAATCTCCCCAATCCCCCCCCCGAAAAAGAGAAGCCGAACTTGAAAGATTCGGTTTGCGCGCGTGACGGGGTCTTGGGAGTAATACCTGGACAATGTTTCGTTGCCGCCGTGGGTGGCGGCAGGCAGTTCTGCTGCCGCTGCTGCAAATCCTGGTCTCACTTCAAGCGAACGCTTTGTGCATCGAAGTCTCGGTACAACCTTCTCTCAGCATCGAAAGACGGACCAACCGCGACTCCATCGACCTCCCACTCATATATGTCCCGATTTCGTGTTCGGTTGTACCATCCGTAACCCCATCGATGACTCAGGCACATGAATGCCCTACAAATGATGTAACATACCCAACGTTGCCGAGCGTTTATACGTTCGAACGGTAGCAATCCCTCCGATTGTCGACGCAACGGTAATAATCGCTCGATTCCCGGAGTTGGGCCTGCTACTCGAGTGGAAACCTTTTTCCGCGTTTAGGGCCGCTGTCGACCCCGCGCGTACCAACTGGGACGTGGGTCGTGCGCCCTTTCGAGACCAGGCGGCCTGAGATACCCCGCTTTCCGGTCAGCCGAATCCCAACTCCGAATGTACAGACTTGCTGTCTCCATGACGTCGCCCAGGCAACGTAGAACGCAAGATTCAAGTAATCGATATCTCCCCGGACGAAAATGCAGGGCAGTTCGGGTTTGTTTCTAGGACCACCGTGACCCGAGAACTCTCCATCGACGATCGCACCGTATAGGGACTGTACGCTGAATTTCCGGACGCTTGTGACTGTCGCACTCCCCATCCAAACCAAAGGTTACAGGTTAACCTTAATAAAGTAATGGATCTCCCCAGCGCCTGCCTGCCATTGGTACAAGCTTCTACACATAGGATGGATCATTCATGGCCTGGCCTAGCTCACCTATGCCCCACAGATGACCATGGGCAACCACTCACCGATCACAATGACCATGAAGCAAACGTACCTCGATCACCAATGTCCTACAGATCACCATGAAGCAAACATACACCAATCACCTATGTCCAACAGATCAACATCAAGCAAACATACACGAATCACCAATATCCTTCAGATCACTTCGAGCATACGTATTCCGATCACCGATGTTCTTCACATCACCTGGGCAAACGTATTCCAATCATTGACGTCCTTCAGATCACCTTGGAGCAAGCATTCCCCGATCATTCATGTATTTCATATCACCTTGGGCAAACATAACCTCATCACCCGTATCCTACCGACCACGAGAGACACACTCTTCAACAGAGCTAAATCTTTTTGGGGACCTGACCTATCCTTTTTGTGCATGCTTGGGCCAAGCACCTGCCTACGGCCTGGTGGACTATTCTCAAGTGAAGTGACTCGTTACCACGCCCAACTTCCACAAAGCTTCTGAGGAGGACGACCCCCGAACACTTCCCCGGCTTGCAAAACCTGTCCGCTAAGTGTGGCGCTACCGGCTGTCAAAGTTGATCCAGCCCCCATCTCCGTGCACCAGCTCCCGGTGTGGGCATGCACAACCCCACGTTCACCTGGAGAAAAAGTCGATCAAGTCCCGCGTGTGTCGGCATGTGGCGGCGAGTGAGGGAGATGTGCCCGAGGTAGTCAAAACCCGCCAGCGCCCGCTGGCGGTCAATAGAATTCGTGTTACGAGCGTTTGCGGTCAAAGAATGATGCTCGCGAGATAGTACGTGGTGCATCGCTATTCCAAGGTTGCCTTCGTGTTGAAGGGGAAAGGGGTTCAATTCTCACGTCGGCCGCAAGACACTACCAGAAAAGTCCTACTTTTCAGCGCGGCGGGACCTTGGCGGCATATCGCCCAGCAAACGACAGTGTAAGCCCCCCCTTTTCCTTCTCGGCTGTTTTTCCGTGTGAACGCTGGCAATTATATCGCCGTATTGGTCCCAACGACGTATACACCAAAGCAGTTTGAGGGGGCCAAGGTGAAGATCTGACGCAATACAATTGTTACTGGGACACGCAGAGAAATACACCTGAGAAAATGAGTTCATGGTGAACCCTCCTGTAGTACCCAGTCCCTCCGCAAAAACAAATTTGACGAAAACATATTTGTCAGCCATTGGTCGAGGGGCTACAGTCCCTCCACAGAATCTGAGCTCTTTGCCAGACAGAGGGTGACTTGTCTTCAGTATGAAAAGTGTCCCCAAAACACGTGGGAACATTTTTCATACTGAAGCCACGTCAGCAAATTTTTCCATTGCTAGGTCATGTACAGTTTTACCACACAGGGGGCACGCGGGTTGAGAGATGTGTACAGCCAGTTAGAGGCCCAGGAGAGGCATCACACAGCATATCACACAGCGTACCATCTCAGCCAAGCGTGTTAGACCAAGGGCTCTCTAGTGCGTTGCACACAGCGGAGCCCATGTTGGCTACAGTGTGGAAATTAGGCCTTTGAGTGCTGTGTCCCAAAGGTATCCCCATTTGGGCTTCCAGTACTAGGAGGGTTGGACCAATCATTCTGGGGGAAATTGCTGTCCCTAGTTTCCGTACCCTTTTCGCGACCAATGTTAGGGAGTGTTGAGCCATACCAAACTCCCTACCTTCCCCCCCCCCCGAATTATTATCGTGTGTAGAAGTTCAGTCATACGGACAAGGGAAGGGGGTGGGTTGAGTCGATTTCTCTCCGACATGTTCCCATAGTGTAGTGATGTTTCATGCGGTACAGACAATCTGCGCCCACATACCTACACGTGCAGGCGCCAGTTCCAGGGACCAGATTCCGTCAACGAAGGTAGCGCGGTGTCCATATAGAACACCAGCAACCACGGAACCCTTGCAAACCTGCGTCGCATCGTGGTGGTTACGTGGTGGTCATGGGAGGAGGGCGTCGAATGCATGGGGCGAACACAGGCGGTCTTTGGGAAACAAGGGGATAGAATAGGCTTGAGTTGGCGATGGTTGAGGTTTCCCTGTAGTAGCCATCACGTTTAACCACGAGGCGCATCAGTAGGAATCGGAGGACGGCGTCACTAAACCCTGCTCGACGCATCCATTGTCTTACCTTCACCATGCCGTGATCGGACACCTTGCCTAGAATCAGAGCGCCCATGGAAACGTCTGCACCCATGAGCCTTAGCCAGACGTTGAGCAGCCACGTGCCTTTGAGGACGGTGTTGACAATGTACGGCTCGAAGAGGGAGAAGTAGACGAAGCGCTGCATCCACCGCCACCGCATAACCTGCGAAGCCGTGAGTTTGTTCGTCTTCCGCCGCTGGCCTTCTTGTTGCCCTCCCCCGGACCCCTTCTCGATGTCCGTTGAACGTGGCCCAACTCGGGCAGAGATTTCCCTTTGTGTGCCTGCTCAGGAGCAGGGAGCAATGCGGGCGCCAACGGAGCGGTTGTCAAGGAACAAATACGATATACTCCGAATGCCTGTCGAAGCAGTACGTGCCTACGATGAGAAACACGTGGCTGATGCAACGAGCCCGGAACCCGTTTTTCACCGAGGTGAACATACGAGCGAGGAGGGCATCCGCAGTTCTCGTCGTACACGCCTGCTGGTAGGGTAGCCCCTACAATTGATGAGGGCCTTATTCGCTTACAGTATTCCCGGCGTTCTCATTGTCAAGGTGAATTTTGGCTAACAATAACAAGGGGAGTTTCGACACCGACGTGCTCTACCTTGTAAGTTTCGATAACGCAACGGCTTTTGAAGAAACGTTCCGCCTGAAGACATGCGACAATTTCTTTCGATGACCGAACGCTCCAACCTGGGCCGTAGCTGGGGAATGTTCGTTTGAATGGTTCCACTAGTTCAAATCGCCCATCCTCCAAAATCACGATAAGGCCGAAGAAGAAACGTGCCTCCACGATAGAGATCTCCGCTCTCCGAGGCGTACAGTGTTTCGTAGGTGTGAGTGGGCCGGGGGTATGTACAAGTCGTATACTGCGGTGTGCACCCAAGGAAACGAACACCTTCAAACACGATCTCCAGCCACACCTAGGAATCGTTGTAGCCTACATAATATTTTCAATAAGTTTCATGCTGCCGGTTATCTCAACATGAAACAAAATATTTCTGCCCAGGGCAGAAGCTGTACTTGTACATTGACGCACTGCGGAAGACTTCTTCAGGTCCTAGCATTTGTTTTCGTACGTGGTGTCGTTCAGTCCTACAGCGGGGTACGATGGAGGAAAGCTTCATGCTCTGTGAAAGTATCAAACAAGTGGAAGGCGATGCCGTTCTACATCGAAAGCCGCCCCATGCCCACCACCGTCTCCTCCAATAGCAAGCATTTGTTCTGCCACAGTCCGGTTTACCGGCTTGCTTCCGAACACAAGATAGTTTCATGGGTATACAGCCTGAAAACCACATCAAAGCGAAACGCTGCACAAACCAACCTGCGGAGAGGGGGGAGAGAAACCCCTCTCTCAGAAAGAATCGAACAGTGCGATGATCAGCTCTCACAAGAGCGGTTTTGACTCATTGAGGAAATCATTCCTGAATCTACCATATTCATCAAGCAAAGTCAGTAGGTCTATGCATGCCGCCCACCTGCGGTTGACATGAGGCGGAAGTTCCCCACGAACACCCACTTAAAGACGGCAAGAAGTACAGCCGAGGCCAACGCCCACACGATCAAGGCCACCGCCGACAACACCACAACCCTGGTGTCGATGGAATCGCCTCTCGACCACAGAGATGCTGCTAGCTTGGTCGCCTCGAAAGACGCCACCAAGGCCAGGATGTTGAGGGAGCAAGCCCCCAGGGTGCACGCCGCGTCGATGACGTTCGCCTTGACAGTTTCGCGGGGATCTTCAGCGGTGAAGCACATACGTAGCGGGTTTCACGGTAAGGAAGCATCTTTGGGTCAAGTGTGGAATTCGTTGTTCTGGGGACATCTTTCTTTTCCTCTCGGAGGGAAGACTCTCATAACAGAACACCCGCAAGAGGGAATAGCTGAGGGGCCCGTGTCGTTTTCAGCGGTATGCTCGCACGTTTCGCCTATTAATACTAGCGTTGAGGCAAATTTGTCTACTTGGGAGAGAGGAGTCGAGACTTCTGCACTCACCGTCATGGATATCCCTTGGGACCGAGGTAGGCGCAGAACCACCAAATTGAAAGGCACTCTGCTGGTCGCACATCGTCACCGACCCGTCGGTGAGATGTTCTCCAGGCCTTAGCTTGGAGTATCCGCCAAGCTGCACCAGAAAAAATATGAGCAACAGACAAACGGTTGATTGTTTGTGATGCATTGTATGGAGAACGCCAACAATCAAACAATTCCATGCCACGAAGCCACAGACTGCTGTGTACCGATGATCGACAGCATCCATCTACATGCGAAGACATGGCATGCACCTGTAGACCGACTGCAGATCGATCATGAAGGCGTGGTAACGCTCGCACACAAACCCCAGCGGGGCTTCTTGTGTTGGAAGTTTGGAGCAAGTCGCGTCCATCATAAGGAATTTGCGCCCAGAAGCCGATCATGAAAACCGCAATTAAAATCAACGGAGCCCACCATCACCATCGACTCACCATTGCACCGTTTCCGACGGTACAGCCCGCGCCGATGTGTACCCCGAACCCGAGTAACGCCTTCGATCCGATCGATATTGCCTTCTTCTCGCGTTCAGTTCCACGTCCGGTCGGTCGGTCGACGGAGAGACGCGGGTAGCCGATGTGGGATCGGCAGCCGATCTGCAGGAGGGACACGTACCGCAGGCACGGGTGTGCTTTCAATGTCGAAGACGGGGTTAGGAAGGGCAGCTATGTAACAACCTGCAGTGTGGTTGGCGCATACAAGCACGCATACACTTCTTGCTCTCCCGTCAAAAACGCCGACACGTGTCCGGTGAGCGACTCACAGAGGACATCGTACCGAACCAACACAAAGAATGCCTGCCTTCTCTGCACAGCATTCATGTCCCCGGTGGTCATGAGTTGCATCTCAATGTACTGATACTGGTCCGAGGACTCGGGTTGCCAAGGTTTAGCGAGATGTTCGTCCTACTTTCAGTCAGGCCCCACCTGAATCAGGTGCGCGTCCTCCGGGTTGAATTCTTCCAGCAGGACAACCGAACCACGCCCCACTTTCATGCCAAGCGCGGCACTCCACCACTCGTATCTCGGACACCTGTCATCCATGCGAGGGTAGTGGCAAGGGGTCGCACTAAGACGAACGGTTGCAACAGGTGCCAAAGCAGATGGAGGCCCATGATGTGATGATCGCATCGCACGGTCAGAGTTAGACGTGCGATGGAGGACTATCGCCAACATTTTCTGATGTACCTCTAAGAGTGTGCGCAATACGTCGTAGCACATTGATGGTTCGCCGATGGCTGTCTTGAAGAACTCGATTCTAGGTTGGCTTGGCTTGGCTTGTGTGGACGTCTTACGAACTGAGCCCTCTAGTGAAAGGTGGAGGCCTTCACTACCTTGGGCGATGCCCGACAGATTGACTCACTGGTTGAAGACGTGCAAGTAGGCGAACACAAACGTGTTAAGCCTGCCGAGGTACCAGCGTCGCCAGGTCTGGAAGACGCTCGGTTTGTAAGAGCCCTCTGTCACGCGACCTGTCAGAACATAACGAACAACAAGAAGTTCGAAAAATATGCTCATGAATCCTTGCCGAAGAGACCGTTCGTTTGATTGTTGTCTTCAACAGGCTGGTTCTGAAACAGCGAAATCTTGCAAACAACGGGATATCGCCGAAGCCCACCTACCGGCAGACAAGCTTCGACCCAGTGCTAGCAAAATAGATCTGCACACATACCATAGCGGCACTAAAGAGGGCGAAAGAAAGCAACGTACCTGCGAGGACCCACTTGAGCAGAACGGTGTAGAGAGCTAGCTGGCTCGGTACTCCGGCGACGAGAAAAACAACCTCGACTAGAAGGGCGTAGCGGAAGTTCTCCGATAGACCGGTAGACTCATAGAGGATGGTCGGGATGTAGGTCATTGCCGTCGTAGCAACCAGGGTGCACAGGATCGAGATTTGCTTCGCCAACTGATACGCCCACGGGGGGTGGGGACATAACGATGTTAGCTTTCGTGGCGTGAGGTATGGCATACGTCACCTAGTAGGGGTTGCCCTGCGACGTTAGCCACGATCATCGAGTGCCACCGCGCTTCATTTCCTAGGGGCTGATGCTGCTGTTGTTGTCGGGAGTTCGCAAAAGGAGCTGGAAGACAAAGAACCGGCCGTTGTTCTGCTGTGAAGAACGGGTTGTGACGTTTGGCCACCAAAATATTCCTCCCGTCGATTGCCTGGTGCGTTTCTCCCGCACAGCTGGGATATCATCTGAATTATGAACAATACTAGAGCTAGCTTGGACGAATAACAGACCCCACAACTGCAAACGTTGGAACTGCATGTACTGTCAGCTTACCTCGGTCAGACAGAGTGTGGTGACACGCGTGCCAGGGACATCCAGCACCATGCTGTCATGGGCTTGGCTAGTTTCCTTCGCGGGGTGACCTTCCCAAGTGGAGTGTGGCTGAGTGCAGGCAAAGCGAACGATGCGACCGTCGGTGATAGAGCTGTCAATGCCACAATACGCCATCCTAAGGGCAGCCCTACGCACAAAAGAACCAATTTGCCGGTGGGCTGATAGAGCAAGTGGGTGTTGGTCGACGACGGAAGTCGCCTTTCTCACTACCATCTCAACTGGGCTGTCCTTGTTCATGCTTCGGCGCTCGAGCGTTGTGGCGGAGCCAGAACCTCTCGCGCAGGCAATACTTCAAGCGTGTGTGACATTCTGCTCTAAACCCATACAGGGCACATACAAAACCACAAGAGAGCGTCTAAAACCACGAGATAGCGTCCGCATTGTTGAAAGTGTTGAGTTTAACCAAACTAGTCCCCGCAAAACACAATTTCGGGTGACCAGATCGACCCCGCGTCGCCTCACCGCAAGCTTCGACGATGGCGGAATGACGGTAAGGGGCTCGACAATACTGGATCGGGGACCCCAGCGAAGAGATCAAAGACACGGGAGGGGCGGATGTGGTCAGAATCAGGGGGAAGCGGGAGGAGAGCTTGTCCGATACGAGAGAGAAACACGAGAGATGGGTGCAGAACATGAGTACTACGCAACTGTGGCGGACGGGTTGCTGAGAGGTCGATGCCAAAGAGCGCCAGCACTAATAGGTCTCGTCGTCGACAAACCACATGTATTACGCGGCTGCAACGACATCGGGGTTGAGTGTGTCCCGACAAGCTGGTCATGCATTGACACCCGGGCCCGATAGGGTGGGCATGTCAACGCCTCCCATCGACAGGGGGAAGAGTTGAAGATTCGTGTTGGGTGGAAGTCGTGTACTTCTATACTCGGGAGTATTGCATTTTGCAGAGGATGCCTGCATTCTACTTGTGAGCACGTGCATGAAGGGTAGCCCACGTCAAAGAATTCACCACGTCGGTGAAACAATGCTAGGGAGGAAAAAAAAGATACAGCTCGTCGTACGTGTGGGTATCCAGGCTATTCTCTGCCTGTCGGATCACGTTCGTGCTGCCGTGTTTCTCTGGCACACATCTCACCAGTGATCACCGACGCTTGTCCCTCCGTACACCACGGACCCGGTTCTAATGTCGGCACCTTTGCCAATGATGATGGGCGCCACGTCCATGTAAGAAGCCTCGAACCGCCGGACGTACAGGTTGCCATCCACCTTCGCCCCTTCCTGGACCTCCACCGAATCGAACTCGCGAACGAAGACGCTGATGCTGGCGGTCCAGGCAATCTGCACGTGGTGGATGTGTGTGTGCCGCGAGTAAGGCTTGGGGTGCGGTCGCGAGCGCGCGGATCGTCCTCATAACGCCACACAGCCGAAGGTACCGCAAGAATGGATGCCTTCCGACAACGACAAGATTGTCCGCCACTGAACAAGAAACTCTTTCAAGATGAGAGTCAGAAAGGAAGGCGTGATTTGCTCACCTGTGCCCCCATGCACCGGTAAATGAAGATTATCAGCTTCGTATCGAGCAACCACGTTCCACCGACGGACTCCCACACGTTCAGCATGGTGTTCATATACCACCAGGAGAGGTACGCGCGCGTGCCCAGCGGGACGCGCACTTGAGGGTACCCACCGATCAGCAGTAGCTTTGTCACGATGACGATCGCCGTGAAGCACGCGAACCATATGATGGGCGAAAGCGCTCCGAGAAGCCCGAGAACCCGCATCTTGGAAGACTCTGTCGGGTGCCAAGTAAACGAAACGAATCGCAAGGTGTTCGTCGGTAAGGCGCAAAATCAATCGTCACGACCGCTGCAGCCACGGCAAGTTTTTCCACCAAGGCGACCTAGGAGAGTTTCGTGGTCCCATGTGAACGTTTCTTCGCTCGCCTTCTGCGCTTCCTCCTCCTCCTCCTCCTCCTCCGAAGACAGGAAGATCCACGTAGAGCCACGGCTGCTTGTTGTACCCACCGAATGACCCTGTCAAGGCCAACTCGTTGATGTACCGCCAGTAGTGACGGGCCGGTTGCAGTGCAACGAATATCTGGACCAGGACCAATGCTAGTAGGATCGTCTGTTACCAAAAGCAGAACAAGTGGCGAGGGGGGGGCGGGGGCAAGATTTTTTAAAACGCGTACAAGTCCAACGACAAACCATGCCGTCTTGACCAGATATGCCAATGTCACGATGTCTGTATCAGGTCTTTTCACCTGAGATAGGCGAAACGCCCATCCTTGCATGGGACCCGTCGTCCACTGCTCGCCCAGGTCCTTCAGGTGGGAGCCTCCCGGGCAGTCCAAACCACCCATGTGTGTGGGCATGGAGGAGACGCCTGCCGCACTGAGGTCGCTACGTAAGCTTCAACGGCGGAAGTCGGCAATGCAGATCGGTCATGATAAACGTTAGTCTTCGAAACTTGCGTTTACCATCACGGCCTTGGTGTAAGCTCGAGCCTCCCTGCCAAAATGGTAACGTTGGGTTCGTTGTCCTAACTACCAACAGTGCCGTCTTCTTTCCACAGCGTCGAAGTCATTCTGCAGCCACCCTATCTTGGTTGCCACTTCAACTGCCCGCTCGGTCAGCGTCCAGAACGTATCGCGACGCCACGGAACTGGCTCAAAACTGTCGAACGCTTCAGCAGAAAACGTCACGAATCATGATATCAATAGACAACGAATGTGCACACCTGGCGCGAGTGGAGGCTTGACGACTCTGAACGGCAGAGCTAATGAACTCCGCGATAAGGGTCACCGTGGGGTGCGTGAAGACGAGCTCCTGTGGGAGCTCGCATCCGGAAGCTTCAGACAAGTCCTGCTCACCAGAGGATACGTCATCAATCAGAGGGGAAGTCACGTCGCAGGACATCTTGGGTACCACAGGCGTTAGACGCGGAGCTACCGCAGCCCAATACTGTCGCCATGTTTATGATCGACGAACGACCATGGAAGTAGTAGACCAACACAAGCTGTCGTCGGGGTCTCACGCCGTTGTCGTGTGCTTCGAGGCTACAGTTATGACCCGAGTTTTAGACACAAATTTCTGGGCGATCGATCGTCCTGCTTCCGAGTGTGTGACAGCTCGTGGAAGCCCTCGGAAGCTCTTAACAGTACCACCAAACATCACTGCATGAACCACAACAAGCAGCGACGCGACAGCAACAACAACAAGTCAACTCACTCTGCTGGTTCCAACAGACATCGGAGAGTCAACGATCACGTCGACGACGACGACGACAACAACATGTGATCTCACTTTGCTGATTCCAACGGACATGAGAGAGTCAACGCCGAGGTCCAGTAGGTCGTCGGACTCTCCAATACAACTAACCCCGGTGGCCTGAAAATGGTCGAAATTTGCAAAGGGGAGTGTTTTGTGACAATGGGTAAGATGCCATGTTCGCCACTGTTTCCGCAACTATTGGATACCACCGAACGAAGACTGTCGAATCAAGGATAGTCATGAACGTTCGTAATGGTGGCGAATGTGCACCACGCCCTCTATGCTACACTTTTCAAGGTTGCACACGCATCGTCTCAGTTCAACAAGCCCTAGTCGAGATGGTTTGCAAAATCCTCCGCCTTTCTTGCCATCATAGGAAGCGTTCATGTTCAAGCGACAGGGAAGAATATGTATTTGCCCCGTCGAGGTCCCCTGGTTGTGCGCTGCCATGAAAATTGTTTCGCCACTTCGATTCTACAGTAGCTTAATCATAGACAGAAGGCTCGCGCTAGCTGCGGGAAAATGCATCTCACCGCCCCCACCAACATCGGCAGGAAACAACACAGAGCAGTACTCACTGACTGCACGATGTCGATTACGTCTTTGACACACAACTCGGCCGGCGCTTGCCGTTCGGGAGGCCGCTCTGTGTTGCCGCGCGGAGTTTCAGCGTCGCTGCTATTCTTGGGGGCCTGTTCGGGAGTACATCAATACGCGGAAACAGAGTTTGGTGCTTAACGGCACCGCAATGTGAACAGTTGGGCAACATTGCAAGCATTTCCGGTTGGCGTCTACATTACTTTTTCCGGAGGACGCTAACGCCAACAAACCCCTCGAAAACAAGCGTTACGGAACATCCGTCGAAAAGTGTGTTAACAATCATGGAACACGGGACTACCAGCACGAGCATGGACACCTCTCGCCTCTAAGTCGTCTGCCGACATAAACAGGGGGGCGGGGCTCATACCCCAGTGCTAATACACAATAGTAAAGCTATAGGTGGGCCCTCTGTTCGGAAAATTCGACCCTCGTTCTTAAAAAACGCACCATGCTCGTGTTGCCGTCAGCCGTTTGAGGCGAGAGTTTTGAAGAGGACGCACGATGGAGCGCCCTTTCTGCAGCAGGTACGGCAGTGGGTGCTGTGGACGATGACTCCTCACGGTCGCTCAGCGGAGTGGGGCCACGAACAGCAGGGGGGGGCGTTTCTACGGGATCGAAACGAAGCTCCTGCACCACCTCTAGGGCACCCGCGTGGAGCGCCGCTCTCGTCTTGCGTCGCTGAATCTTTCCGGAGGTAGTCTTCGGAATCGTTCTCTCTTTGATGGCGACCTGTTCCACGTTTTGTGGCGAACACGGACAGCGATGCAGCAGGGGGCAGGCGCGTGTTTCGCTGGCAAGATATTGAGCGTGACCGTTCGTGCGTAGACGCGAACAAACAACTTCAGCTAAACTCCGGCGGGATCCGTTTGCGACGTTAGTCCAGTATCAACTACGCATTTCGACAAGTATTCCCGTGCCACTTCGTGTGTAATGACTCTTTCGATTGCCTCAACTACATGTGATGAATGTTGAAACCACTTGTTTTGCGACGAAAACAATGCACTCACCACCCTGGAAGGTGCGAGTCCCGATTCGCTCATGACGCTGCGGCGCACGGCTTCCAGCGCTTCCGTGACCGCATGTGTGTTCTTCTTGGACACGCTTCGCACCTCCATTACGATCTGTGAATCAGCAAATCAAAACCGTTGGCTCACGGATCAGAGGTCATTCCGCCCCAACAAACCGGTATAAGTGTCTTGGCCCCCTGAAGTTACCTCATGTTTCAGCCACAGCAATGTGATGCAGATTACATTAGTAGTGCAGTCACGTTGAAATTTTAGGCCAAACCCGAAGTGGAGTGGAACAAGACACCCCTTCCGGTGCCCTAACACGTCGTGTCAATAGCCTGAAACTCACCTCTAAGCCGCCGCCGAGTTCTGTCTCCGAGAAGACCGCAATGCAACCTGGGCGGACCAGAGGAGACGCATCTTGGGCGACGAACTCAATGTCCTGCACGCAGAGCAACGGTGTAGGATGGTATCCATAATCGGGGGCGGCCGGCGAGATATTTGCAACAACTGCGAGAAAATCCTTTCGCGCTCGTAGGAACGCCGGGGGTCTACCGAAACACCATCAATGTTTCGGCCTTGAACTTGAATGCAGAAAGAGCACGTTGACTGGGAAAAATCATCGAGCGACACTCAAGACGCAGTGCATCCATGAACAACGCAAAATCAACGTATACGTATATGTTCACAACCTGGACTACGTTCACCTGAGGGTAGATGTTGCGCCCAGCAACGATGACGAGGTCTTTTAGGCGGCCTTCGACGTAGAGAAGGCCTTCGGCGTCGACACGGCATAGGTCTCCGGTGCGTAGAAACTCCGAATTGGCCCACGGAGGGGGAGGAGACCTGGGATTCGATGTGGTGTGGGAAACGAGCTCTGCGGGATATGAGCAAGCGCAACCACCCCGCACACCGGCAAGCGATCGTGGCCTTCCATATAGAACAGATTTTGCAATATTGTTCTATATATCCACAGACAGGTATTGATACATGTATGGGCGAACTCGTGCTGTGTACCCCAACAAGTATGGCTGCCTCAGAGTGAGACGGGAACAACGCCAAGGCTGTGGCAATCTGCTCTCTCTGATATAGCCTCACCCGTCGGCACTGTCACACTTGATCCGTGCACGGAAGGTCCCCTGGGTCAGCTCGGGCTTGCCCCAGTAGCCCGCAGCGACAGAGTCCGACGATACCCACATCTCCCCCGTCTCCCCAGTGGGAACTTCCCGGCAGGTCTCGGGATCGACGATCTTGATCTGTTAAGACGCGAAAGATTAACAGCACCAGGCCCACCCCACATAGTGCCGTTGGTCGTTCCGGGGCGGACGAGAGGCATGGTCTGGTCAGGACTCTGTACTTCATTGTCAGGGACGGTCGGGGATTCAGGGCGGAGATGGCTACAACGCTGGTGTGGACGGGCCTGCTGGTGTGCAGGCAGGTAACACGGGAGTAAACTGAAACCTAAACCGGGCCAAGTCCACGGTTGTCCCTTTCTGTTAAAAGAGCTACATGTTGATGCTATAGACGACATCAAAGGATGAACAGCGGTAGTCATTGTTGTGTGACTTCCGCAGAGACTGCATGTACTCGTGCTTGCATGTCTTGTACCATATGTTGCGGCCCTGTGCATGCGCTTCGAATCAGAACACGTTTTCACGCCAAAGTCTGCCCGCCTTCTTGCTTGAGCCCCGAGAAAGTGCTTCAAAATCTCCCAGTTCCCCAATCCCCTAACACCAAAAGATTGGATTTACTATGCCCTTGATAGAGACGTCAAGAACCTACGGCAACAAAAGTAACAGCATTATCTACCGCCAACGTTCGTAAGGGCGGCATTACGTTGAAGACAAACGCTTTGACTAGGTCTCACATCCATGTGGAGGCCGGCCGAGAAGTGAATATCCCCGGAAGCCTGCAGCCGCTCGTCAGGTATGTGTCTCAAGCTCCCTCCTCCCGGATTAGAGCTGGAGGACGCGCATCCGACAGTGTGTTCGGCGAGGCCGTACGCCGCATTGGAGGCGTATCCCGGCAGGCCCACGGCAGCGAAGGCTTCGGCGAAGTCGCGAACCTTCCACGGAGCGGATCAAGAATGAGTTGTTGTGGTGCTTGTTGGGGATTCGTCTCGCTTTCGCCCTGTCGTTTTCGTTTTCGTGTAGCTGCTCCCTATGCCGAAAACAAATATGTACAGCTTCGTGTGCTTCTTTTGACTTCCTGTGTAACATCCTAAGGTGTGGATTCTGTTGACGGTTAGACGCCAATTTAAGGCGGAGGGATATACATGCTGGAGTACTGTCGGGTTCATCCTTGCCTACCCCTCGTCTTGATATTGTGCAGTTGCTGTGGAATTCACTCATTTTCTTCCTGTGCGGTATTCGAACTCTGATTCAGGGTCGCTGTTGCTGTCGTGATTATGTAACTGCCTTGTTTCGGACGAAGGGTGACGAAGGAGGTCCATTTCTTTGCCTTGCAAGGCCAGACAGTAGGAGGTACTTGATAAAAGCCCTAGAGGATTTTGGTACCAACAACAACAACAACCAACGACAACGACAACAACGATAGGGGGCACTGCAGGACTTGAAGCGAGGGAAGAATTTTCGAGCTGAGCCAACGGTGGTACCACCAATTGTCGCCGACAAATCGGTCACACTTACAGTGCTAGCGCGGACGGGCTCGGCGGCGTTCTGCATGAACATGATGTGCTTCAGGTCCAGGTGTAGTGCCGTCCGGTTCTCTGGCGACATCTCCTCCCTAGGGGTGAAGCGGGGGGACGAACGATCGACGAACGTAAGTCTGACAGTCGAAACGTCTCCGGCACAAAAAAAACGCTCCCGCACCTCCAGTTCGGGGAAAACGAGGGAAAATACACTTGCAACGGTTCCACCCGGTCGCGATGCATTTGCTGGTCGAAACCATGTCACTTGTCGGCAGGTGATGTGCTCTTCTGCGAAAATATCACACTCTTGCTGCCGTGTTCTTGCCTCATAAACATATGTTCAGTTGAATATCTCTCACCACTTCCGCACGCAGAGTCGGAACGCGAAGTCTGGAGCAGCCGTCATCTGCGACTTTTCCTTGGACATGAGTTCCAGCCAAACCAGAGGCCGTCGCATGAAGGTGATGGGAGAGCAGTACGCGGCCGTCCATCCGGCGACGAATGGCGTCAGAGTTCCCTGGATGAGCCCCATGTCGTGGAAGGTCGGCAGCCAGGAGAACCAGGTACGTTGGCCATCCGCGACCCCCCCTCGTTCGGCGATTTGCTGCACGGCGCGCGGCGTAGTAGGTGGGGATTTCGGGTGCGAACGTCGAAGAAGTTGCGAGTGCTGCTCGCTCAAACTCAGTGTTGCAGGACAAGAGAAGGAAAGAATGACCAGGAGTCCGCGATCGAAAAGGCCCATCTTCCTGAACTCCTTCTACTACGCGATTTCTGGGCTTTTCCCGGAAAAAGTCGACTTGAATACGTTTTCTCATCGATACACCGCTGAACACCGGCTAGATAGCAAGCCTTTACCACTACAGGCGCGATAGGCCATCAGCATACATCGGTGAGAAGACAAAACAGCCTCGATAATACCAGACAAGACTCGCTTTCGGTGTGCCCAACCACATTCATTCGCTCGATCGACTGGATGGCGCAGGGGTCAGGCATTCTATTCCTCTTTTCGGGTAGTGAACAACGGACATTGCGGATTTCACGAGTACATGAAATCGTACATAGCAAGGCGCAGATATTTGATTTCTTAGTGTCTCACCGCGTTCGAGGAGTTGACGATGACTCCGATATTGTGAGTGAGGTTGCCGTACGTGAGCATGACCCCCTTCGGATCGGAGGTGCTCCCTGAGGTGAACTGCAGGAAGGCCACGTCTTGCGGCTTGATGGTCGGGTCGTCGAAGCTCGGCCGCGTCCTTTTGACGTCCGCCGACTTGCCACCACCACTCCTCCACCCAACGGTAGCAGAAGACATGCCACCGGTGGGAATATTCTCCTCTTTGACGTCGGGGCAGTGGTATGGCAAGTCCGGCCAGCCGCTTTTCCCCGTCGCCACCGCCCGCAGCTTCGACGCCAGGCGGAGCTTGTTGACGAGCGGGCACACGAGGACCATCTTGGGTGCACAGCTGTCGACGATAAGCTGCAGCTTTTTGAGAGACCTCTTGAGCGTGGCCGGGTTGGGCGGGTACACCGGCACGGCGATGATGCCGGCTCTCAGGCAGCCAAGGAAGACCGCGAAGAAGCGCAGGCCGAAATCGAACGCCAGCACGACTCGGTCGCCCTTGCTCAGGCCCCACTCCACTCGAAGGAGATGCGCAATCTGAGGGAGGGGGGCAAGAAGAAACCATAGAGACGGTCTAAAGCTTGGGCCTCGCTACCCAGGATACCTACAACTACGCACGGGCGGGGGTCGATGGAAAAGGTTCTTCCCGGGAAACGACCCTTTCTGGTGTCGACCTGAAACTGACGTCTCTTATTTCCGGGCTCCTATTGTACTCAAGCAGGATACAAAGACCTGGCGAGCGAACGACGAGAAATATTCTGCCCCAATCCTCACACAGTATCCACTTCGCTTGCACTCGTATCTCCGAAACCGAAGTCTTTGAGAGCGCATGGTCGACCGGAATGAAAGTCAACCTGAAAATGAGCGAAGAAGGTATCCTACCGGCACGACAGCAACTCTTATCGGCACCAGGTAGATTTGTTTTGTACTCAAGAACCTAGAACGGCTGGCCTCGGGACGTATCCATCTCCTCGAATATTCATTCCCATGTCGACAGCTTTCTTTGATCCTCGTTGGTCACCATTCGAGTGGAAGGACACACGTTGGTCCTTGTAAAATTCGATTCGTGCAGGCAAGGCATTGCTTCATTGGAAAAAACGGGATCGCGGAGAATCGACCTCTCGTGCACCCGCCGGACATCCGCATGAGGAAGAGCACATACAACCACGTATCTCTACGCGTGAGAGCACGAAAGTTAAACTCCGAGGACTTGACTACACCGAAGGATAGAGGGGTTGTCCCAACGTAGTAGGTGGTCACAAATTTGTGTCATCGCCCAATTTGCAATTAATGGCATTTTCGCACACAATGCCATGGATTTTTCAGTGAGTCATAAAGTTGATATTGCAAAAGTGAAAACCTCGTGTATGATCGTCGCATTTGATTCGATTTTGATATATCTTTCGAAAGTAAAAACCTTGTGCATGTGATCGTGGTATGATTCACAGTGATGTACATATATTGACAGGAGTATCACCTCGCCGCTTGCCACCCAGACGCCATGAAAGGTTCGAGTAGATTCCACTTGTCCCTTGCTGTTGTACCAACGGCCGAAAACTTGATCTTCGGGTATTTTGTTGATGGATCGAGCGATCGCCTGGAGAAAGGTACCCGAGCTCCGCGTGGATACCTGGGTAGTAGCGAGAGCGGTCCGTTGAACAACGATCGGCTTTCCATTTCGTACGTACCACCGCAACGGGGAACATCTGCACGTACGGTCATAACCTGAGTGCGGAAAGCTCTTTTGCACGACAACACTTTTGTTCACGGCCCTCCACTCACGTGCTGGTAGGAGTCATCCCCACCGCGGCCGTCGCTGGGAACCGGGGTCATCTTGTCTCCCTCGGCTCGTCGTCGCCGTCAGGTAAAGTTACAGGGAAAGCGGGACGATCGATCGTATTCATAGATCCCGGTCAGCGCGTACCGCCGCACATTTATGGTGTAGGCTAGTCAATGGAGTGCGTGGGTGGCAAAACAAGGCGTACACGACTTGTTCGTGGGATATAACCCGATGAGCTCGTACGATTGATCGCATCAAATGCATCGACTGTACAGTATTATAGTTTCCTCTCGGCGCGCAACAGGGCGCCAGCGTAGAGGTACAGTAGACTGATTCTCCTGTCGCTGCGCACCGCAGGCACTTGAACAAAGAGTACTTTCGACTGTTCCCGGTGACCCCTTCTACCTTATGCTGCCCGTCTGTCTCCGTTTAGTGGTCCACAAGGTTGGTGGTGGGTGTGACAACATCAATTTCTTGGGCACTCACTGCAGATGGATTTTTAAGGAAGCCAAACAGCGTGTGAGAACGAGAAAGTAGGAGGCAGAGCCACTAATACAGTGCAAGCTAGCAGAGTAGACTCGTCCACTTCGTAGAACTCATATTCTAGCTTGTAGCTGCGGTCACAAGTACGCATGCATCGAACAATAGATACCGCGTCCTCACCTTCTCGAAGAAGGAAGACCGTTGTCTCCTTCCGGAGCGTTGGTGCAAGCTCCAACGCAGGCTGGTTCGTCGACCTCTTGGTACTGTATATCAAGATATGACGGGTCGTGCGCGGGTAGGTACCGTAGATGCCGTAGAAACGGTTTCAGCAAAGTGCCCTTCACCGAAGCCCCTCTCGAAGTAAACTACACTGACTGCTGTATGCCCGGTCGGTTTCGTTTAGCACGTTGGAGATGCGTTAGACACCCCCTTCGAAAAGGGGAAGAGGAACGTGTAAGCTCAGTTGTGACCGGTGCGGGTGGGCGCTGCGCATATTGGCGAACTATCAAACCTCCCAAATGTATGGGAGATCGGGCGAATCGGACTAACGTCGATCCCGAGATTATTTACTGAACGATGCACATATTTAGTCCGACCACGCGACGGACAGATTTATTTTTCCGGCGATTGACCAGAAATTGCCAGAAAGAAGGGGTATCTTTTCTGTGCAAGTTCTCCCCGCACATGAACAAGGCGGGTTTTCGAAATCTTGGACGTTTGCAGTTGTTGGGACTGACTGTGGCCTCCAAAGAACGAGTTGGGTTCCTTTTTGTTTCACAGCAGCAGCAGTTGTACCTGCTGTAGCCTGTGCAAACAAGTAATGGGGAAGCGAAATCGTAATCTTTAGTGCTTGACCTTCCTCTTGTGTGACTGACCAGTTGGTACGTACGCCAGAATAGATGGACAGATAAACACACACATATAAACTCCGTGGCTGTACATACAGTAGTGCAGTAGATAGAGTGCAAACGCGGACGGTGGTTGTTGGAACTCGGATGCGGCGCACATGCGTGTGGCAGAGTCCGAGAACTGAGACTCTCCTACAGCAGTATGTGCTTCAGAAAGACACAATGACCAAAGACAGGAGGGCCGAGTCAGGTGGGAGGCAAATATGCATTTTTTTGCAGATTCTGTTTGTTCGTTATATTAGACGCGCACACGCCGGAAATAAATACTCCGTATAGACTAGACGATAGGTCGCGAGGTCATGTACAACGATGATCCGATAGCGCCGCTGCGGCTCACGCCTACAATGAATGCGATTCGCCGAAGAGGACCATATCCCTGTAGGTGGGTCAAGAATCGACCGGGAATCATACTGCGGTCTCTGCCGCGATGGTTTGACACAACGCCACATCATAAATTTCCTCCCGCCGGAATTACATTGATCCTGCGGTGTAGGTTGGCGCATGATCCGTAGCTTACAACTGCAGGGGGAATGATTGCCCCCCCGCCCCCCAGTCAATGAACGGGGCGGGAAGCGAGGCTGCGAGGGAAGTCTGATCCTTTTGTAAAGTGACATCACGCGCGCGGGAAGCAGCAAAATAAAGTCTGGCATACATATCGTCGATATTGCATGAAACCCCATGGTTGCTCAATTTCATCTTCCTTACATTATCTCCATATATACCCCGCGCGCCTCATTTGGGTACCTGCGTCGTGGAAGAACCCTTCAATGTGGAACGATTGCTACAGTAGCCAGTGTCGATGTTTATACTGCTGTGCCTAACACAGACGATCGGATCGATTCGGGCGATAGTCAAATACAATGATGGCTTTGGTTGGTTCTTTTTCACTGTCCGCGGGGGCATTGTGACAGCACTTCAGACAGCAGGTAGCTTCGTGCCCAACTTCTCGTTCCGTGCCTGCTGTACATGCCATGGTGTTATACAGACCGCACTCCAGACAGCAGTAAGCTGCAGTCGGCAACCATCCATTTTGGCATAGAGTGGGACAGGGGGGGGGGTGATGCTGCTGGAGTGAATATAGTGTACGGACATGAAAACAGCGCACAAAGGGAGGACAGAGGAGGCGAGGAGGCAAACAAAACAACAAGCAACTCTACCGTCGGCATTTTCATAACAACAGCAGTGTACATTAGTATCTTTTATAGGCTATTTCTTATTGCAAGGTGGGGTCTAGACTAATACATCAATTAAATCTAGACCAAACAGACAGCGACAATGAGGGCAGCAAGTACATGCAGGCACCTGTGCAGCATGCTTCGTGAAAGAGAGAACAACCTACCACGCAAAAAAAAACATTTCCAGTCTCCTTTCCCTGCCTCGTATCGACAAAAAACTCAACGATCGCACACGGACAGACTGAACACGGCCCACACTGCAAAGGTCCCAACACAAAAACCGTTGAATAAACCTTCCTGCCCGTATGCCCTCATTTTTTTGTCACGAGATCGACGCAAGGAAGCGTTGACTCAAGACACTTCTGACGTTCACATCATATACATATCGTCTTAGTGAGCATGAGCGTCCTCCATCGAGGGGAGGCTCTGGCCCAACTGTCAATTGGCACGATGCATGGACCCCAAGGCCTCGTACCCAACCCTCGAACCCCGAAACCCTCAGTAGATCGGTATCACACGATGTACCTTCCTCTGTTGCTCCCATGGTAATGCTCCAAAGAAAATGCAAGAAACGTAACTGTGCTAAAAAATCATGGCTGTGCCATATGCGCACAGGTATGGGAAAACGACACACAACAACATTGACCTCAAAAGGAAGTCGCATGTAACGCTCCTCTCCGAACCGAACCAAGTTTCAGTGGTTGAGAGCCAGTTGTATTTACTTGTTTCTGGTATCACTTTTCAAATGAAAAACGGGGTGAAACTCTTCATCAAGGTGCCAACATTGCAATCGCCACCTCTCACTCCTCGCCGGCATGGATGTAAACTAAACCCAAGACATAAATTTCTCCCTATTTCCCCATCAATTGCAACCCCGTGCCATGCGCTCGACACCGTGACGGTGTAAACTAAATCCACGACCTACCTTTTCCTTATTTCCCCAACAACTGCAACCCCCACCTGTCACTCCTCCGGCGGCATTTGGGCGTAAACTAAAATCCATGACATACCTTTATTCCATATTTCCCTAACAATTGCAACCCCATGCCATACGCACGACACCGACCGCTATTCAACACTTCGGTCCTCCGATCCAACAATCGGTACAGTCCAAGTAAAAGAAAACAAGTGATTCGCGAAGATAATTTTCCCCGGCACCACAAGAAACAAACCTTGCTGAAAAGTCGACGAGAACAACAAGTGACGACTGTGACACGTCTCCCTGCCATTCAAACTGCTGCTTCGAAGTTGTTGTAGCATGAAAGCAGAACCTCGAAAGTCAGAAACCTGTCGTGAACCGAAACAACGGTGGAAACAACACATGGCACATATAAACGCCGGTGCATATGCAAGGGCGACCACAATTTTATGGAAAGTTCACATCAGGTGATACTCGCCTGACATGACAGAAACGCATATATATATATATATATATTTGGTATTTTTTGTTCGCTTGCCGCGCCAACAATGACAACGTAAAACTGCCGGTGCTGAACACCAGCGAAACCTCTTGGTTGCTTAACCATTGTAAAATTTGGGGCAGCAAGCACATTTACGCGCGAGACTCACCCCGCGTGCTGCCCTGCTTGCGCTTGAGCAGCTCATCCAAGACCGCAGAAAAAACGTGCTTCGCCCTGAGAACGGGATCTCGCCAAGACCCTGCGATGGGGACCCACATCCGCCCCCTCTCTGCCACGGCCAGGGGGGGTATCATCTTGGACTGCAGCGGGGCCCCGTGCCCCCCGCACTCGGTGGAGAAGAACGAGATCCCGTCTCCGTTGAGCACCCCCGCCAGCTGGCCGAAGGTCGAGCACCCCATGAGCAAGCCGTCGGCGTGGACCATGCACGACAGCGCCTCGGCGGCGTTGCGTCCGAGGTGAAGGAGGACGGGCCTGCCCTCCACGCGAAAGGTGTCCGGTCGCGACGCCGGGCCGTCTTGTTCGGCCGCGTTCCGCGGGCAGACGGAAACCTTTCCGTGCGACACCGGGAAAAGTCGGTGGAGCGACATGTTGGCATCAACCTAATCCGGCAGAAGAGCGTCGACAAGGCTCACGCCCGCTTCACAAGACGTAGATGGGGAGGTTACGTGTGCGTCATGGATCGACGAGAACAATCGTTTTCCTCTTGTGGATGGGATAGCGGATCATGCGTCTGACGTTGACGTCGACCGGATTACCCGATCCGCCAGGTTACAAAAAAGGCCGAATCAAGGGTACAGTACTGTATCATAGCGGAAGCTTTGGTATTGGCGCCATGGTACCGTTGGAAAGATGGCTTGGTTGGGTGTTTACAGGTGATCAACGCAGCAAGCGGCATCTACCCTTAAATCTGAAAATACAGAAAGTCGACAAGCCTAGATCTACACAGAAATGTCCTAACGTGAGATCACAAGTATTCCAGGTACAATTTTTCCACGGAACGTCCCGTCCGTGTTATTCGTCCCGTCCGTGTTACCAAGGTCAGGCCTTGCCCTGCCATGCTCACCTGGTCGCGCTCTACCGGCCAAAACGGGAACTCAGTGAACGTTGCGTTCTCTGGGAAGGGGCACGGGTACAGGGCCTCGGAAAAAACGTGAAACATCGGTGCGGCCTGTTCTCTCTCCACGACCGCTTGCGTTACGGTCGCCATGAAGCCTTCCAGCAGGGAGAAGTACTCGGGGGTTACCCCCTCCAACTCTCGTCTATCTCCCATGCGCACGTGCAGCGCAAAGTTTAGCTCGGACTCCTCGTATCCACACTCCGGTTCGTCGTTATACCTGATAGATTCCCAAAAGTAGCAAACGAATGAACGCATGGCGTGCGCATGTGTCTCACAGAGCGAGGTGTTGCATGTCTCGCTCTTAGCAGTGCTCACGACGGTCTCAGTCCCACAAAGGTCTCTTTGCGAAGCAAGATATGTCCGTGCCTCCGTGCTATATGTAAGGTCTCTCGGCGGTAAAAGCAAGACTGTGCGGTTTCTTGGCGATTTGTCTCCGATGGGGACATCATCATAAGCCTCGCCGTCGTGATTGTTGTTGTCGTGTTGCCGGGATGATGCTCTTGCTGCTGTATCAGCCGAGTTGGATATTGTTGTATCTGGGCCTCACGAGTGTGGCCTAAACTCTGGGCACCACCAAACATCATGAGCTGGAGGTATCGAACAACCCCCACAGCAACGTGTTTGCGACAGCAGTATACGGGGTCTCCGCACGCATTCACCCATGCAAACGCTTCGAAGCAATCAGTTTGAACGTGACCCATCCTTGGGTATGTTCACCGACACGTGTCTATGCTGCAGGCACTTGTCCCGCTGCTGTCCATCCTGCGCAACCAAACCCTAATCCAACGAAAACAGCAAATTCAAGCCCACTTCTAACCGGATGTACTTCGTACACGCTACTGCACCGCCCCGTGCCTTACCATGGCCGTGGGGACTGGTGGAAGTTCTCCCTGAATTGACGCAAGACCTTACGGACGACCTCTCGCTTCCAGCCGTCCCATGAGCCCAGACTTGCGAGGAAGTTGGAGCTGGCGTGCGGCTGTCGAAGCACAATCTTCAATCGATCCCAACCGAGATTGTCGAAGCCGTTGGCATCCGTTTCTTTGAGGGCCATCTCGAGATCGTGGTTCCTGGACGTGTCCGCCTTGACAACAAAGTACACGCACGATCCGGCAAGCATTGCGTTTTCATGCACGTTGTTTGGGTAGGCGGAACCCCAGTTCGGACTGAAACCGCTGTGGTATTGGGGTGTTCCAAGTCGTCGACTTGCAACTTGTCGAAAATCCGAGCGACCGATCAGCTGCCGCCTTCCCCGGACCCATGCTGTCCCTGATCTACGGACGTATGCCGTTCGGCTGTCTCAAAGCCACCCACTCATGCATCTATCGCGCATGCTAAACATGCAACCAACCGTGCTAGACAATACCGCACCACACCTCCACTACGCGAAACGTGCAGTTCGCCGGCAGCTCCACCGACGAAGCGTTGAGGTTAAAGTACTCCGGCCAGTTCACCACGGAGCATCGATGAACCATGATTTCCGCTTCGTCCTTGGTTGCGTTTCCGAAACCCCTACGCTGCTCGTCGTACGTTGCTGCCGAATGGCAGTACACGGATGCCCCGCTCCCGTCTCCTGCTACTGGCATCCCCCACTGCGACGGGGTTAGCCAGTCGCACCCCACCTCTTCCGCGAATATTTTTGCGGCAAGATGTCGCATTGTCATGCTCCCGACTCCGTCCGCCTTCACTATCGCTTCCACCAGACACGGCGATCCTTGCAATGAAGAAATACGCGGGGGCCGGAACAAAGACGCTTGTATATTTACTGCTCCTGCTGGTTTTTGTTGTCGTCGGCCTTTTTTATCGGCATGAGGATTGAGGTTGGCTTGCATAGGCAGGAGTTCAGCCAACACGAGACCCACCGTGTGGGGCGAGGTGTCTACTACTCTGTCCCCGGAAAGACTCAAGTCGAAAAATGGCTAGACCGGGGTGGCTTTCCGCTTTTCTGAGGCCCTGAACGAACGACTCCACCACACTCACAAGCCCTTTCGACAGAGTACGACTGGGAGTTCTCTGCCCGTGCGGGGCAACCACCTACTACATCTCCGCCGAAAACCAGGTCTTCCAGTTTTTAGTTTTTATTTTCCTGTCCATATTCATGGTGCTACTATCTTGTGCCCGCACACCTCGTGCCCGCATGTCCGCCGCGCGATCTTGCAATAGCTGTCGGTTCGCGTAGGTAGGCTGCAGAGAAGCGGGCAAGGTGGCCGTCCAAGACGCCCAAACGTCCATGCAGTCGGACGCCGACCAGTAGCTGTCCAACGAGGACGGCGACGGCGAGGAAGGTGGAGGAACCGGTGCCACCCTAGTACTACGATTCTTGACAGTGTCGTGCTCTGATGCGGCGATATCTTGCTGGTGGGAGAGCTCCTGGCACGCCTGGGGAGGGACAAGCGTTCTCTTCTGCTGCTCAGCTTTGACCTCGATAGTGAGTGCTGCGGTTGCTGTTGATGTAACCCGCGGCAAGCATAGCGTTACCTGGAGCAGACAATGGGCCGTTGTTGCTACCCACCGCCACACCAGGGGGCGGGGAGCCCACATTCATCCGCGTTGCGCCTGGTGGCGATGCGCTCTTATCCTGGTATTTGTTGACATGGCGTGTGTCAAGCATCGAAACGGACGCCAGCGGTTAGCACGAGCGATCGTCGCTAGCTCGCCATGTTTCAAACACAGGTGACAGTTGCGTCGTGCTATCGGGAATCGGTGCTGTGTCCAGTCAAATGGCGTGCTCCATGCATGGCTGTGAATGATAGAGAGCCACCATGACGCATGCATACGGTAGGGTATATGAGAGCGTTCATTTCGTTCCCTGTATCGCGTGTTTTCGGTGCACACAGCGCATGGGTGCAAGGTTGATTTGTCACCCCCTGTATCCTACACACAATATTTACATTCATACATTGATGATGTCTCCACTGCTGTCGAACAGAGGCTGTAAAAAGTATTGACTCGAGATCGATTACTCATTTTGGCGTATGATTTTCTGGTTGCAGACAGACGCAGCCGAAAAAGATATGCAATATTCAACAATATCTTCTATAATACTTCTACCCTCGGGAATGGTTTTGCCAAACCGGCTATAAATAAGACCTCTACGTGCAGGTTATACGTGGTTGATCGAGAGATAGACAACGCGGGAAATTCTGCCTGTCATGCTTGGATGTCGAGGATTTGCAGGGTCCCACCTTGAAAAGTTACGTTTTAGAAGAAATATCAAAGTTCGGAATCCTCATTAAAAAAATAATCGACTCTGGTATGAGACTCTGCGAACGGTGCTGCAAGTGGACAAAAACTGAAATCAGCACCAGTAGGGACATGCCTATTGCAGGAACCCTGTATCGCTAGGACAGGTTTAAGCGCTCGTGAGGATGCATCTCCACTGCCCACCACTTGAACTTTAAACCTTTGGTTGAAGCGTATGAGAGTGAACGAACTGCGAGGTACCACGGAGTGAGTCACGGAGACCTCATGTTACTGTATTGGTGTGCTCGGTCGATAAAGTATGTGGGTGCAAGGCTGACTTGTCACCCTTACATATACACACATCAATGATGTCTCCACTGCTATCGAAAACAGGTTCTCAACAGTCAGTTTTGGCTGGGCGATCGCCTCTTCATGTTTCGGCGTATGGTTTTCTAATTGCATAAATCGAACAATAGCTTGCCTCGGACATACATTCCTCTACTCTCGGAAATAATCTACCAGGTACGTACGTAGGTTGTACGTGGTTGATCGAGAGATGGGCAAAGCGGTAAATGTTGTGGATGCCGAGAATTTGCACAAGGGTTGCATCTTAAGGTTTGACGTTTTAGATGAAACATGAAAGGTTGGGTATCACTACAAAAATCGACTCCGGGAGCAACGCACAGAATGATTTTTCCCGATACCTAATCCCCAACACCTTATTTTATACCTCTTCGGGGCCCCCCCCCCCGAACACCATACAATTTCCTACTCTACAACAAGCCTATAGTGAATCCTATATATAGGGGGCATATTTCATGCACGGGGGTGGGTAGTACAATCCACGTAGCCCTGGGCGAGCTTATATGTACCGCAGCCGACGGTACCATAGCAGAAGAGAGAGGGAGATAGCTTGGGAGTCTCAAGAAGAGTGGTCACGATGAGGACAGTGTCCGTGGGGACGGGGAAGGAGGAGGGAGTGCGAAGGCGCTCGACGCAAGAGCTTGAAGAAGCCGCGGTTTATTCTTCTTGAGGGAGGGCTTCGGGAGTGAATAATAAGTAAAACGCACGGCGAATATTTGTAATTGTGTATGCATACTGGTGATGCACGTCGCAAAGGTGATGCCGTCGCCGTAGGCTCATCGCCAGCTTGATGCCCTTCTCCGGTATAATTTTACCTGTTTGGGTAATCTTGGATTGATGATGTTTCGATGGGTCGTGTTTTTTTGTCCTTTGGTCCTGGTGTGTTTTTCGTTTGTGTTTTTTCGCCATACCGTAATAGTCGGAGAGATGGAATCGGGTGCGGTCGTTTTTTTGAATGTTTTCCTCGTTTTTTTTATCGCACCCCGGTGCCATCTCTCCGATCCCGCTGCGGAAATGCAAAGAAATCATTTCGTTTAGTTTTTTCAAGTCACCCGGTACGATCTGTCCGGCCGGTGCCATCCCCAATGAAATGCACACAGGTGTATGCACGCACCCCGGTGCCATCTCCCCGATCGGTACGATAGTATTGATACCAGTATATAGGCATACCCACACACACGGTTGTTAGCGCGGTCGACGCTAATAGTAAAGACACACCACGCTAGTTGTTGGCACCGTTGTTGCTGGTTGGAAGCACACCGGTAACGGCAACGTAGGTTGGTACGTAACAGATTTCCATGCACAGCGAGTGGTCTTGTGTTGGAAGGCGAGTTTGGCTATGGCGTGACAAGGACAACAAACGTGTGTTGTCCATCTGGGGCACCGGTACGTACGGTATAAGGCAGTCTTCCGGTTTCGTTTCGGTCTTCCTACGGATACCAGTACATATATACGCAGCAGTACTACAATGGTTTCGTGTTGTGTAATGTGGGGTAGGGTGTGGGTTGTACGTCGTGTGTTTGGTTGAGTGTACGGTTGGCAACTGGCATCCCGCGTGATCCGCGACCATGTATACGTACATAGAGGACAGGAGTGGCGCTCCGCTGACACCGTCCCCACGTGCAAAAGATACGCGCGTGTACCTCATTCCGGAAGCTGACAGGAGTTCAATCTTGGATTTGGGGGTCAATGAGATCGCACCCGGTGCGATCTCACCGACCCCGGTGGGTAAGTCGAATCAAATCATGTAGATGACATGTTGTAACCATTGTTGTTGCACATACAAAAGTAGGACCAAGATACGATCCGAACGGAGGATCTTACTGATGGTTGATCCGCAAGAGACCCGAAAAGACTACTGCGACCTGGGCCTCCCCCCAACGAGGGAAGCCTGTGTCCTCACGTTCTTGTTTTTTTTTTGCGCACCCCGGTGCCATCTTCCCGACCGGTGCCATCTCTCCGACTACTACGGTATTTGCCCAAGGCCAACATGTCGCGGACTTGTCGCGGAAGCATTGAGAAGATATGAGGTCTGTTACTTGTAGGTTGGAGGGTTGTCTCCAAGCGCTTAACACTTCGAGAATTGAAAACCAACTGCATCAAGTGTTCCCAGCCCATCGGAGCATGATACGAAGTACTTCTCTACTTCTTGCGGCGCCGGATTACGACGGTACAACAGTAAGATTTCTGTCAAACTTATCAAATTTCAAACAAAAGATCCTTTGTGCACATGTGCCGTAACCACACGCAAGCGCAAGCACACGCAATTGAGAGGGAGGAAGCCAAGAAAGCCTGAATAAAAATGTACCCACGAAGGAGAGAAATAAAACTTTCTCGGGGGCTGGTGGGTTGGGTGTGCGGTACGACAGGAGACTGCTGTGGGAAAAAAAACAAATCAGCACCACCAGCATGACACGCCTGTTGCAGGAGCCCTGTATCACCAGAAACTCTTGATGCATCTCCACAACCCACCACTTGGATAAGAACGCTAGGCTGTAGGGTATGAGAGGCAGCAGCCTCCGAGAAACCAGGGAGCGAGTCAAGGAGATAGAGAGAGCAGTATAGTTTGGGCGACAGCAGTGCCAGTTGATGATTCCGTTTGAAAAAAATGCCCGTGCAAGTGAATCTGTGAAGGCTGATGATCACGCATCGGATGTTTCTCAAAGCACATGGCAGCTCGACTCCCTCAAAAGGTAGCACTAGTTATCCACTGCATCGAGGTTCCATCCACGAAATGGCGCCATAATCTTGTGTGCCCACTGTTGATGGTATTTCCAGAACGGAAGAGTACAGCAGCAGCAGGTGTGCACCGATCTATTTCATCATAGGGTATGCAGGAGACTAGCCGAACAGAGTAGGCAAGCGCGCACCTGCACTGGGGGAACGGTGACAAATACCCACGCTAGAGATACTGTAGGCACCAGAGAGAGGACCAAGGTACGAGAATCCGTGAGCTATAGTCGTCAGCATGTGATGGTCTGGTGAATTGCCGTGCACCGCCGTATGTGGGGCTCAAGAATGGAACCCGTTCTCTCTCCGATCGTTGGCACATCTGACAAGCGACTGCTTGCTGGCGCATGAACAACGCTGGAGTTTCGTAATCTATGCACTTGCCACATTTTCTTGCCACACGTTCTCAACCGCTCACCTGTCTTTCCGCTCCGACTCTACGTCCCTGTGGCTCACCTCTTGCCCCCCGCCAAACTGCAACATCAGGGGCAGCGCACACCGCACGCACCACACGCGGTCAAAATTGTGCCGATTCGGGACGACCAAAAAAATAATTCAAGCACGTTGGCACGTCAAGAGGAGACGAGGGGGAGATTCGAATTCTTGGTGTTTGGAGAAAGCGGGAGTGTGTGGCCAGAGATTGAGGGGGGAAAGGAGAGCGCGACTAGGAAGAAACGGAGCAGGGAGCAGCGCCACATGTGAGAGCAAGACTTCAATCCGAGCGTTGTCTCCGCGGAAGAGTGTGGCATAGACCCGCAATCCCTCAATGCCGCTTGCGATCCTCTGTAATTGACCCGTTTCGTCGCGACGTAACGTGATTGTTTCTTTGCCCCCTCTCTCTTTTAATTAAGGAATAATAAAAACACACACAGAAAGACTACCCATTCGAGATATACCCACAGTCGAACGGGACGTTTTCTTGCTAGCCGTCACAGCAGGCAGTCTGTGCCCCACCACTTACAGAACAACCTCTCATTTGCGCAACAAGGTTACTGTTTTTTTCTCTCTGTGCAGAAACAAACAGCCGCGACATAGACGATGTACAACAAGAGTAAAAGAGCACACAGCTATGTAGTAGCGCCACGTAGTCTACTTGAATATGGACGCGAGCCGTTGCAGTAGCTACGTTGCAGTGGAACGGGGGCTATGCAAATCCTTGTTTTGTTCAGTTTAGCACTGCAGGAGGAACGGCGGGAGCAAAACACGAACTATTGTGTAGACACGACATACGTAGACAATTCCTTTCTCCAGTGTGACCTCGACGATAAGAATACTCAAGACGTTACGAAACGTGGAATATTGTACATTTACTCTACCGTAGACAACTTTTGTACTGCTGTAGAGCACAGAACCGATGGGGATCTGCAGATAGTTCAAACGGCAAATAAATACGTACTTGACAGGTGGCCCTAGTTTCCATTCGCAGACTGCATTGTGCGATCCCTGCCACCAGTAATGAGATTGTCACTCAGGTTTGCGAGAGCGGTTGAAAGGGTGGAAATGATGACGTTTCCAATCAAGGACCCTGTCTTTGCTTTCGAGGACCCAGAGTAGGTAAACATCAACGCCGCAGGCTCCTGGTAGCCATCCTGTATCTGCTATGCACTGAAATGCCTGCAGCTCCGATTCCAGGGCTGCGAAAGGTCAACAACAACCAGCGTCGGATCGAACCAGTATGTCCTTTCCGCGTTGAAGGAGTTCAAGTGTGTGTGGATACCATCCACTACACGACAGATACCACCAACCAACCGCTGGTGACTCCCCAGGCCCCTCGCGCCCTACGACGGCCTCAAACTGCCAACATCCTAACGACGGCGGACTACAGCAGGCCGTATGAGAGTAGGCTGTACCTTTCCGGGACTCGTGTCTCATGCATGACGATAGTGTTCGGATTATTGGCTCTCTCACCCCGTCATAACAGGGGCAGGAAATACATCGATCTAGGTCTTACCGGTCAGATACGTCTGCGCACCTGATGGCAAGACGGCTATCAGCTTCAACCTGTCGCGTGCACCAGCATTTCATAGCTGACCCCAACAACAAGCCCTGCCGAAACATGATATACACTAGTGCATCAACTCGCAAAGAAGAGCTGCTACATCTGCTGCCCATCGACTCGCGCTTAGGACCCGTCATTTCTGGACGCGATCTCTGTCACATGACATGCTGCACGGACTACGGCCTCTAGAATGCCCCAGACCGGCCACGATCCGTGTTTCCCACGCTCTCTCGTCAGCTATCCCTCTCGCCGTTGCACGGAGCACATCTCGTTCGTGGAAGAGGTTCGTTGGTGTTGGCGCGAGATTGTCGCCGGCGGCAATAGGTCCTCTCCAGCTGCCATGTCCTTTCGCCAAAGGCGGACAGACCCGGGTATACGTTGCGATGCAGGTCCTGCGTCACCCTGAAGAAAAACCACCGTGAACCCACTGCTTGACATCCTATCCACCAGCGTTCCCTCTCGCTGCGTCGCGCCCACCACCGCACCCACCGACATAGGCCAAAAAAGCGCAAAAAATCCAAGACGGCTAGTAAGAACACGCCCAGAAGCAGTCGCCCTGTCAGCGTTCGGTGATACCAAAGAAAAAACGTGTCGTCATCGACGGTAGAACTCTTCCATCGCCGCGAGGTACTCGCCGCCGGCCATCTGTGACAGATCCGCCCACATGGGCTTGGCGACGTCGGGACCCTTTCGATCTCTGACCCGCAGGAGCGCCATCTTGCTGGCGACTACCGGACGCCAGAGCCCTCGGTCTACCTCCGCTTCGAGCTCACCAGCTTTCCAGACGGTAATCTGGAACGGATTGGCGCCACAACAGTTTGCCGGAACACAAGGGCGAAACAGGCCGTGGCCGCGAGGGGTGGGGGTGGGTATTCGCTTGGCGCTCACCCAGGGTCATTCTGCTGACTGTCTGGACAAAGTTGAAGGTTACTCGGTTGTTGCTGGCATCGGACTCAAAGATCGCTCTTGAGGGTTTTGCTTCATAGGTTGACGGAAGCTCGCGGTTTCTGTGTGCGCGGGGATGTCCTCAGATATCGGAACGAAATCGTCGGCGCTACATACAACCCTGGTATCTGCCACGAAACTAATAAGCAAAAATCAACTCAAAGTGGCCACTATTATTCACTGGAAAAAAACGCTGCATCGATACTGCCTAAACCGATGCGGCATACCACGCTGTCAACACCCTGTTGCAGTTGTCGTAACTAAACACGCACGCTGACTTACAGCACCTCATTTGGCACGCCAAGTCATCTTGCCGGTATATAATCCAGGTGTCCCAGCCCAAGCGAGCTTGGCGACAAAAACAAGTTACCCGAAGGAAAGCTTCTGATCCGAAATATGGAAGCCAACGACAATCAGACCAATCAGACCAGAAACACAGAGCGAGAAAGGGGAAACTACTCGCACCTAATTCCATCAACTCCTGTAGCAACCAACAGCTGCAGAAAGACAACAGACTCCTCTAATTATTTCTCCAGGCGCCAGCCACCAAGTAACGCAATAAGCTCAGCCTCTCCCATGCGCTTGTTCTTTTTGTCATGATTCTGAGGACTGACGCGCAACACGTCCCGCCCCTATGGCAGGCCGAAGAAGCTGAAGCTGCAACCAGCCTCCCCCGCTGCCGGTTCGAGGCGGACCACGTGCCCCCCTCCCCAAGCGTATCAGGCATACAAGAAGAACAGCACAGCTGGGAGTATCACACGCACCAAACACAACTTCGAGGAAAAAAGAAAATCAGGTTGAAAAAAAAGTTAATCAGGTCGTTACCCTCGCCTGGCCAACAGACGCACACCCCGTCCACGGTTTGTCCTGGCCTCACCTGGGCGAAGAAGCGAAAGTTGAATCCAGACCCGGGACCATCGGTGACGACCTTTGAGGCCGACTCCATGTTACCCGAGAAGTACAGCCCTTCTTCCTCTGAGATTGCCTGCGCTCCTTCGACCTCGGGGTACGTGTGTATGAATGTTATCCCGTTTTCACCCTGTGTGCCTCCCAGCCACAGCGGCTGATGGAACCGATTGATTCAAACGCAGTACGTTTGCAAAGCATCACACGGGCTTCGGTTAAGTGGCCAGGACACAAAACGGAAGATATAATGTTCATTGGACCCACAGGCTAGAATACAAATCGGGGGACCACTTCTCCAAGGATTTTCATTGCCCGCTGTGGCGTTGGGTCCTGACCTGTATCATGAACGACGTGAAATCATTTCCCAGGTCTCCCATCAGCACCCCCGTCCTTCGGTTGAGCATGAGGCCAATTGTCCGTCCGGCGTCGATTCCGACCAACAGAACAACTGGCAAGAGATCGGCGGCCCTGCGAAAGATAGCGACGGGGGGTTAGGAGGTGGGTTCCACGCTGAGCGCATCAATATCCGAAACTAACGGAAGCAACAAACACATTTCTGCGCAGCTTTTCCCAGTTGTCGCAGCTGTTGCTGAGTTGGTAGCTCTCTGGTAGCAGGGCAACCCGTGGTTTCATGTAAGTATATGCTTCGAAGTAGTAGATTACATGACCCACCGGCGGCAGTGAAGCATGAGCGGCCAATAGTTGGGGGAGGCGGGTGCTACAATAACCTTGTGAACCGTTGAAAAGTACGATGGGAACGTCATCTTTCAACAACGATGGAAAATGTACGCCGTATAATACCGAAACTCCTTGCTTGTGCATGTGGGACGGCTTTCTCTGTGAGGCGCTTTTCATTTGCTTGTGGGCCATGTTGTGGATGAAGTTATAGCCGAGGACATTCGTCGGTTTGCTTCTAAGGGGACGAGGGTGGAACGCCGTAAGGTGGATGTTGGAGTGATTTGGAGCGAGAGCAGTTCACGCGAGAAAGGAGACCGCCGTGCGGAAGAGATGAAGGCACGAAACCGCACAGTGAATACTGAAAAAAGACTGGACTTTTTAAAGCGACTCCCACGACATTTGAACGAAAATACTGGGCATACGCTGCGGGAAAGCGCATACGCTGCGGAAAAGTCACACATCATTGTCGTATCAAAGACACAATATCCGTTCCACGACGAGCTCGACTACGACTGAAACAAAGGGCGTGCGAACCAGAGGAGGTTCATACCTGTCGGGTGGAATTTGCTCGCTGCCTGGCAACGGCTGCGCCAGCCCGAACTTGTCCAACATCCTGCCGGAAGATCGAGATGAACAAGAGGGCAGGTCAGGCAAGCGCCAAAACAACCTGTCACCAAATAGTTAGTGGCACGAAGGCCATGTTCTCTGTGAAACCGAATCGTAGCTCTGGCAATTGTTGACGGCTTCCCCGTGAAGCTGCATCGGTTTTCTAGAAAGGAAGTTTACCAGAAACACCCAGCGGCGGCAGCAACTGGGCTCGCCAAAGTAGAAAAATGACGTGTTGCACATCATAATTGCTCTTTCCGGCCCGGGGGGGGCCTAGTGGAGGCATGGAGCACCCCGATCCCGGGACAAAAATTAACACCCAGAATAGCGCCACGTTGCATGGCACAATTGAAGCAGCTTGGTGTACCGGATTAGTGTGTCTACAGCAGCAAATCCGTTGTACTGTCCATTGTATTGGGTTTAGTATCGCATAATAGAGCCCATAAAATACTCTTTCCCCCCGCTGTATAGCACGGGTGTGTATAGGTCTTATGGATGGCCATACTAGTTGTAAATTAAACTTTTCGATGTTTTCGTGCGTTGACGTATGTTCCTCTCGCGGCAGCGAACCTTTTTCCTGCGCTTCCTTCTGAGAAGTGCGCAGGGGGCTCGCCGGTACATTACCGCGCATGCCTTAGGACCACAAGTCATCCGTGGCACGTGTACTCGACATCTCAAGTCGCCACGACCTGGCTCTATTTTGCGGGGAGGCTTTCCGGAGCACAAAAACAGAAACAGAAACCAACAAACACTAAGTTGTATGGAAACCAGGACTACCAAACGGGGAGAGAAGTACCGCAAACCGTGAAAAACAATGGCCATGTCTTTCTGCGTCGCCCCTGGGAGACAAGACACCAAACTCCCGAAAGGGGAGTCAACAATCAATAGGTCCTTAAGAAAAAGCACACTAAAGCCCATATTGTGCGTGGGTGAATACTATTTCCTAGCGGCTTTACTATCGCATTCTAAATCATATATCTGACCGACCGAGGTCTAGTTCTTTTTTCCTACTAAATCCAATACAATAAATCATGCATGGGTGACACTACCACATAATTTCCACAAAGCTACATCGGTCTCCTCTTCCACACTAAGTCCAATACACCCTTCACCCGCCCCCATAAGACCAAAATTGCCGCCCAGCCTGGGGGCGTTTCCTGGCTCCCACTCGGGCCCTTCTCCTTAACTTACTTTGGATGACTCCTAGTGGTGAACGCTTTCGGGTCCGCCAGCAAAACCGTCCCGGTCTGAAGAACATCCGTGGGCTTGCACCACTCGTCCGGACGCGAAGTCTGTTGGTGGCGTGGCACAAGGGCAACAAGACACGTAACCACTCTTACCCGTTTCGAAGCTCCAAAATTTTGGAAGTGGAGGTTCAATATATCACAGTGGGGCCCGAAATGTGTATACATCGAGCCCTGCAAGCACCACGAAAAGGTGTCATACTAGTAAAAGTTTGGTTGGGTTGGAATGCGTCCAGGCAAACGGTTGGGTCCGTGTGTTCTGCCACACGGAGGCTCCTATGCGCATTGACGCAAGGGCCGGTGGGTGGCGGGGGCCACGGAGATCAGGGAAGCGGATGACCTTCGGGGTGCGTACGAGAAAAGGTGAAGCCGATGCAACGAAGTTCGCTCATCAGTGGGTTTCTCGAGCGTTTGTTCGAAATTTTGAGCGTGCTTGCGCGTGTGCTGGGAACGACAAAGTGATGGTCGCTAGCCGAGTTTGCATTGTCACATTTTTACTGGGAAAGCCGGCACCGTTGCTCGCGGGTTAGCATGAACGCCACTCAGCAACCACAGCACAACCCTCGCATAAGACACCTGCGGGAGCTCTCTACCAACCGTAAACTGGGCGCGTGTTTGAGGACGAGAGCGGTCACGTGCACGTCTGTGTCACGAGCTACACAGACAAGCGAGGGAGAGGTACACTCACGCTCTGCTACACAACCGTGGCCTCCCACTTGAAACAAAGCCAGCGTCCGTCTCTGCATACATATCCACTAGCCGCCTTCCTGGAGCTCGTCGTTGCCTAGATACAGTAGGTAGAGAAGGGTTGAACGAGGGAGCTGAGGCTTTCTCATCTCATCCCTCCAGGCCCAAATACATCACAGATGTATCCATGGATACACCAGTACACACTTCTACCAAACGCTGGATGAAAACATAAATCGAGATGTTCAAAACCCACGTCTCCGATCCCGAACTGCCGGTTGAGCATGGCCTTGAGCTTCTCCTTCGCGTTTTCGTCCTCAAACTCGGTACCCATCCGGGGCCTTATCTTATTGTTGCGCCATGATGTCGACCTTGATGCTACCGCGCCAGCGGGGAGTCCTGGAGGGGCGAGGGGGTAGAAACAGCAGCAGAGAGAGACAGAGAGGGAGGATTTGATGCCCAGTAGTCTATTCAGTTTTTTCTAAGTGAGCGAGCATACTGGAAAAAATACAGAATCGGTAAAGCTAGGGTTAGGGTCTGCGTGCCCCCTGCCTGGTCTTTTTTCGCCATAAACTCTCGTTGCGTTCGTTGACAGGTACGCGCGACTATGCTCTACTTCTTGTCTTCTTATAGTGTACAAGTTGGATTTTTTAGCCTTGCAGCCTTTGAGAACACGTACATTGTATGACCCCCAAGAGTCGTTCCTGCCCCATGATCGCAGAGAAAGGCGCGTATTTCATCAAACACATTCGATGAGCAGTATCTCCCGGTGTGATGTTTCCGAACGGCTGCTTTCAGCGATGCAACAGCTCCGCCACGCACATTTTGTTGTTAATGGTGTGCGTGTGCACATGCACGTTCGTGTGTGTAAAAGAAACTTTAATCCGTCAGGTATCGATGATCGCGAACATGACTTTACTAGTGTAGTGGCATTGGCCACCTAAATCGCTTCGGTCGCATGGTTGGAATCGATCTACTGCGGGTGAAATATACCCGGGAATGTTCTCATAATATTTGGTCATGTCTTGAACGATGCATAGCGGCGAGAGCGCAGAGTCAAGTTCGAACTACATGCCCTCTCCCCTCCCCCAACACGGTTAGGATGGTAGGAATAACTGTGTTCTCACCACGGTTGGCGTAGTATGCAGCAACACCGGGAATTCTCCTTGTCTGGAACTTCGAGAAAGTACGCCATTCATAGCGCGTCTTTCAAATGGAACCATGTCGCGGGCGGGGACAATTATGGTTGAAATGCCTCGGGTCGGCATTGTCATGTGCTCGTCGGTCAGCTTGCTCGGGAATATCGGATGCGCGCCAAATAATTGACGCTCGACGATATCTGCAGAGACAACCGCGGCGAAGCCACTTTATTTCTTTCCTATGATGAAGCCACAGGCTGTACGGTCCCATTGTTTTTTTTTCTACCATGGGCCGCGCCGTAAGTCGAACCGCAAGAAGGAATTCAGCGTGGCGCCGCGTACCCCCCCCCCCCCCCCCAATAAAAAACAAATAAACAAACAAACGATACCGTGCCTCGCGCGTCGCTTGATCCCATGCAACCTGTCCCGGCTACGTTCGGATACCCACGAGATTGGAAACCCGGGCTGCACGACAGCGCAGCCCTGTCGCTTTTGTTCTGTTGTTTCTTTTCTTTTTCTGCCTCGTGCTTTTCGTCATGTTTTCCCGTGTAGTGAGATATCCCAGGCATCATGCGGACCTTTTCGCGGGAACCTCAAAGATACAGCGGGAAGCAAGCAACGCCATGAAACCACCATACGGCGCAGGGCACATGGCGATCAAGAAGGGCAAGGCAAACGATACTTAGCGCTTCATAGTGCACCACAGCTGACTATCGGTACTGCACGCCACCGCCGAGAGACAGACTAGGGTCTCTCTGGCGTAGCGCTCGCCGTTGTGCTTCTTGGTGGAGGAACTCTTTGAGTCCTCCGATTTGGGGATTTTCTAGGCGGGCGGCGCGTCACGAAGGCCAACGGCTGAGCTGTGCCGTCCCGTTTCGCGGTCAAATTGCGTGCAGGGTGCGTATCGCACGGTTCTGTGTTGGTAATATAAGCGTAATGCACGACATCGGACGACCCGACGGGTTGTACTGTTGTATCCCGAAGCAGATATTGCACGACTTCGAATTGGGTGTTTTCTGAATGGTATAATAGTGCGTACCATTGGGAGGCTCAATCGTCCGAGACTGCTACTGTGCAACAGTTTCGTCCCGTCTGGTAGTACTCGGAGGGAGTTTTTGCGTTTTAGAAGCAGAGACACGTTAGGATACCGCAGAGGCTTTGTGCCGTGCGGAACGTGTGGTACGGGGGATGTCTCCCTCCGTAGGCCACAGAAATATTAATCAAGGCAATTCGAAAAAAAACAAAAAACTCTCGTTGCGTTCGTTGACAGGTACGCGCGACCATGCTCTACTTCTTGTCTTCTTGTAGTGTACAAGTTGGATTTTTGAGCCTTGCAGCCTTTGAAAACACGTACATTGTATGACCCCCAAGAGTCGTTCCTGCCCCATGATCGCAGAGAAAGGCGCGTATTTCATCAAACACATTCGATGCAGCTGTGTACGTACAGCAGATCCCTTTGGTGACTCCAAGCTGCGGTTTCACGCCTCCGCTTGCACACGGAACGAGTACATACCGGCCACATTCGTTGGTTGCATCCGAAAGTTTTCTTCATCTCTTCCTCAGATTCGGATGCCAACACGGGCCCAGCGTAGTGTTCTGTTGGGCGGAACACACTTCACTGCCGTCCGCGTCGGAGTGCGGCTGACACTACATTAGCTCCTCGAATCCGTGGGGCCGAGCATTATTTGAACCACGACAGCAAGTCTCCTTTTCGCCCGGAACACATGAAGACACTGCATGTTTGAATGGGTCTGCCAACATGCAGAAAAGCCTTCCCTCAGGGGCGGATGATACCCAACACAAGGCTTACAGCACTAGAGAAAATAACCGCGCGCGGTAGTTGTTTCCCAACGAGCGCAGCGCGACCACCTGTGCACAAAATACAGACCCAAGCCGACGGGGAGAGGAGTCAGACCGGTGTGTGTGTTGGTATTTGTTGCTGCCTCTCGCACCTGTTGCTGCGAATGATGCAGACGAAGCCCGTAGCCCTAGAGAGGACGAAGTGGTAAAGGCCTCAACCCCTATCGATCCAAAGCATACCAGGAGCAGCCACATGGTTCGTCACGGAGTTCGGCAAGAGAGCCCAGCAGCTGAAGAGACGGCGATGTGTACGATGCAGCGATGCGGCGGAATTCCCTGCGGAGGGTCTGGTGCAGAGTTGGGAGGCCAGAGGGGCCTCTTCGAGCCAGATGGCGGTTACCTCTACGACACCAAGATAACACAACCCTCGGACCGATTTTCAAAGCTCGATTTTTCAACAGCAGAGTCACGGCGCGGAAAATGATGGTGTTGAAGCCGCCTGGTCGAGAGCTCTCGGAAAATGCATCGTTTCGTGTTTGCATCCTCTTCGTCGGGGCGTAATCGAGCTTTAAGGAAAAAAAAAAAAAACGGTCCCGGGTGTACCCACGGGGGAGATGTCCCTATATGCTGTCTGGGAAGCCGTAGACATACAGGTACTTTCTGACGCTATGCATTCATTGCTTATCTGTCTCAGACTCTTTTCTATGATACAGATGGATTCGTTGTGTCTTAAGAAAAAAAAAAACAATAATAATAACCTCATTACACGCCGGCAACGCCGGAGCCAAAATATTTTATACGGCCGCCGAAAACCGATACAGCAGTGCCGGCCCGCACTGAAGAATATGGCACAAAAATTCCAAAAGTTAAGAATTTGCGGATAAGAACACGTGCTCGACTGCACGTCCTGTTAGGAACAAGAACACACACCAGAGGTGCACCACTGCTGCTACAGATAAGAACGACAGCAATGTGGCGGCTGCCAGATAAGTGTATTCGTAGGGGGGAGGCAGGGGAAGAGGGAGGGTGATCGAAGTACATATGTATTGGGTTTGGGAGGGGTCAGGTTATTTTTGGGTAATTATATTTGTACGGAGTACATACATGGACATCTTTTGCCAGCGACATCCACGGAAGTGTGAGGTCGACAGGACCACACTCAATGGCGAATGATACATGACATGGCTCGTTCAATCACCTAAACGGCCATTCCGCCCTTCCCATTCCGCCATTCTTCCACCGTGCCGCGCAGATTGAGCGGACTCACGGTGGAGTGAAAGAGCCCATATCCGGCATCAGCTTCCCACCTCCGGCCCCGGAGTCCCGCCGATCTTGCCCTCACTGTCCCATGACCTTCGTGAACCAACGAGCAAGGCCTTGGGATCCACGTGAGAACGAACGCAGCACAGCAGTGCCAACATGTCCAACGGCGCGCAGCTGCGGCGCATGCTACGGAAGGATGTCGAAGGGAGTGTCCTGCCGTGGGAAGCAGCCGGGCCTGGGCGTTGTTGGCACGTGAAGGTCGATGATTCGACGGGGGCGGCTTCGTTTGTCCTCCAGCGGAAGCGCTTTCTCGATCTCGACTTGGATGGCGACGGCTTTATGAACCGCCAACCAAGGAAACTCGTGGAGCTCCCAAGCGCAGGCGATACGACTTCAGGTTCAAAGCTCACGCCGTCAACCAGCTGCGCATCCTCCAGGACAACGCCGAAGACCTCTGGAAGGAGGAGGAACGCACGCCTCTTCAGTACTTGGAGGATCGTCTCAAGATTTCCTACAGCAATATTGTGAAGTGGGCCCAGAACGAGAGGGAATTGATCGCGGCGGCAGCCGATGACGTGAAGAAGAGCCTCCTCGCAAAACAGCAGCCTGAACGGTGGTTTCCTGAGGCAGAAAAAATACTGTACAGGGGGTTCGTGGAGCGGCGGAAGAGAAAGCTGAAGGTGTCGGCTCTGTGGCTGACGATCACGTTCCGGAAGCTCGTTCATGAGATGTACCCCGGGGATCAACGGGCGGCATCATTCCGCGCATCCTTCAGGTGGGCACGAAAATGGGCCAAGAGGCATAACCTGTCCAAAAGACGCCGGACCAACCTCAAGAACAAGTCTGTCGAAGAGCGGCTACCAAAGATCCAGCGCTTCCACCGACTGTTTCGCAAGCTCCTGCAAGAGCCGGTGCGGTACAGGGCGCCCGATGAGTCGGACGTGTCGGCAGTCACGACTGTCGCGGAGAGAGAGTCCAGGGTTCCCCAGTACGGTCAATTCCAGCTCTGGGAGCGTTGGAATGTGGATCAAGTGCCTTTGGCATTCGTGAACGGGCTGCTCGACACGTGGGACAAGAGAGGTGCGTTGCGGGTAGCAATCTCGCAGCCCTTTGCTGGCCTAGAGAAAAGGCAGTGCACGATGCAAGCCATCTTTGGTCCCGGTGAGAAGACCATGCGCATTTCAGTGATTTTCCGAGGCACGGGAAAGCGGATCTCGTCGGTGTAGAAAGCAGCGTATCACGAGGACGTAGACGTGTTTTTCCAGGAGAATGCGTGGGCCGACCAAAAGTTCTGCATGGAGTGGGCGAAGAGGTCCTACCGCGAAGGCCTGATGCGCGGGCGGGGTGAGCTCCCCAAGGCGAGGTCCATTCTTATGATGGACAACTTGCACGCGCAGACGACGGACGGATTCAAGGAGTATCTTGCGAAGCACTGCAACACTCTCGCCTGGTATGGCCCTTCGGAGTGTACGGATGAGGTGCAGCCAGTTGATGCAGGAGCCGGACGATTTCTCAAGGTGGAAGTCGGGAGGCAGATGGACATATGGCTCGAGCAGTCGGACAACCTCGAGAGGTGGGAAACCGCGTCGCTGACAGCTTCTGATCGGCGGGTCTTGATCGCTCAGTGGATGGGAGCGGCCATGGCAAGACTCAACAACCAACAAGCGTACCGACACCGTCTTTTCGAAAAGTGCGGAATGGCTATGACCGTGGACGGCTCGGGCGATCATCGAATCACCTTGGAAGGTTTGGACAAGCCGTATACCTTCGCGAACGATGAAGACAGTAACGACGACGAACACAGCTCGGAGAACGGCAACGATGAGCCTGAGGGGCGGGGGGAGGAGGGCGATGGAGGACGTGAGACGCTCGTGGAGGGCGCTGACTCCAGCGATGAAGACGACGGCGGTAAGTTTGTTTTGCATAAGACCCACTCGTCATTCTTTGCGGATGACGATGTTCTTCATCTTGACGTGAGCTTGTGTTTTTTGCGGTTGTTCTGTTTCCGTGCACGACTACAAAAAATGATGATAGGGTCATGTTGAGTTTGGCGACGGACACCCTAACTTCTTGTGTTCCCCGGTGCCTCGTTCGCAGACATCTCTGAACCTCAGACCGACGAGCTAGCTCTTCTAGACGACGACGACAGCATGGACCCACAAGACCCGGAGGATGAGATACAGGGAATGGAGATCCCGGCAGGCTTTAGTATTCAAGAAGCCAAACCCGTTGCTCTCGACAGATTGCTTTTGCGACGTGGAGTGCTCGTTAGGCTGGGCATGGGGTGGTTTGGAGTATTGATCACTCAACAATCTCAGAAGGACACTCGCCACCTGTACGACTACTGTGTGCAGCTGGAGGTAGACCAGAGTACGCGCAAGATGAAGTTGCCTTTAGACAAGTACAGCGGAGATTCGGATGCGGCTGTAGGCTCCTGGGTCTTGCTTGAGAGCATTAGTAGATCGGGAAGGGTGCGCAGGACCAACGTCACCCTCGTGGACCAAGAAGGTTGACAGTTGCTGCTCCACGCCTTGGTGTTTTTGTACCGACAACAGCAGTAGTGTTGCTCATGGTTGACAGCCGCCAATAGAGCAATCGGTATTGAAATAAGAACAAGAATGCCCTTTCTGGAGAAGAATGGACTACGAAATAATAACTTGGCAAATAAGAACTGGTGCTCGGGTTGGGGCAGCCAATAAGAACTGAGCCTCGCCTAAAATAGGAGGTTCTTAAGTGCGGGCCGGCACTGTATCAACGAGTGCTTGCTCACATTCACCCGTGCTATCATAGGGGTAGTGAGAGGATAGTGTGCTTCGTAGTTCTTTGGTGAGGGCATTAGACTTGTACGACGCCGCATTCCTTGGACTGACTCATCATCTCATCATCCTCTGCTTGTCTTCGGGCAATTGGCACAACCGCACCCGGGGTGTCTATTCACGCCGAGGTTGTACACTGTTCTGCAGTTAGGTGTATATGCATATATATCTAGAAAATGTACGTACAATCAAAGAACGATACTCTCATCGAGAGAAACTACAGTAGACTATCCATACGTAGAGAAACTACAGTAGACCAGCCATACGTAGATGCCGCAAGCTCACAGATACGTACATGTAGGGCCGAAAAAATCTACAACCTATAGACGAGGCAACATCGCCGCATGTGAACGGAGCCGACAGCCGATTTCTCCAGGACGGAGGAGTTTTTCGGCGAGATGAGGCAGCACCTCCCGACGAGTATTTTGTCGAGGCTGACTATAGTCTATACGCACATCGATTGGTGTTGTTGTCATGGCATTATACCGATCGATGTGGTTCAAGAATGTACAGCACACCGAGAGATCCGTTGTAGTAGTACAAGTAGTCTAGATGTGAAAATTCGTTTTCGTTCTCTACCTTTTTCAAAAAGAGATCAAGAGCACTAAAATTACGTACACAGGAGGAGTCGCGTCTGTCGGATGTCACGCACTCCAATAATATATGAGAAATGATTCGAATAAATGGTGGGCTTCCCTCTCGTTGCTGTGCCGTCTCTGTATCACGGCACTCAGCTGGCCTGAATGGGGCCTGTAGGTATCTCGGAGGCGACGGCGAACCACCTCAGATGAAGGCACACTTTGTTGTCTACCAACAAACGATGGACACGTCTTGGACGCTTCTCGCTGAAGCGGACCGTTGTTGTAGTTACCCCCTGGCTTCAAGAAGAAGAGCGAAAAATGGGCACTGTAGATCCAGGAGCCTGTAGCCGACCGTGCTAGGCCGTTGCGTTGAATGCATGTATCAGCTAAATAGACGAGATGCTTGTGTGTGCGTCACATGTCGACCGCCCGAGAAAAATCAGTTCTGGGTTGCACCAGTTCCCTCCGAGGAGATGGATGTTGTTGTACAGCAGTACATATCCAAGTTATACGAAAAAAAGTCCGTGAGGCCTGCCAGGTACTGGGCCTGGACCTACCGGTACACTGAACCCTTGCACGGTCTATTTACAAACAACTCAACTTTGGATCTCACGATCGGTGCAGGTAGATTTAAACAGATAGATCTTTGCGATACTGCAGTAGTCTAGACAGCACACAAAGAGGAAAGCAATCCTGCAACACAAAGAGTGAGGCCGGTATTGAACATAGATAGACGTTGCCCCCTTCACAGCTGGAAACCGGATGCAGGCGAGGTCGCGAGGGAACGACCTTCGTATAAAGACAGGGCAGCGCCATTCACGTGTGTGGGGAAGCGACAGAAAGGCAACGCCTCCGCTGTGATTCGGCCATTCGCTCGTTGACTGCTCTGGGTGTGTTTGTCTACGGAAATGGGGACCATAAAACGCCCTAGACACCTGAGGAGGTGGCGGCTGCTGCTGTTCGCGTGGCTGGCCTCGGTGTCTAGCTCCACGGGAGGAGGGTCGGGGTCTTATCTGACCAGACAGTTTCTGCCATCAGGTGCGCACTCTCCGTGCGTAAATTGTAGCAGGCTCTTCGAGTAAAGGCTTTGACCTTCCACACTGAAACATGTTCATGCAGGTGAACAACAAATGCGACTCAATCTGTAGAGCACCAGCAACGCGGACAAACGTTCGCCACATCGTCCTGTCCATGGCAACTGCGCGACATACCCGTCTAACGAGGTCATGTGCGGTGCGGGCGCCATCATGTCGAAGTTGTATACATATGTGGTTCATCTCAGCGCCATTTCGTTGCACAGCGAGGATCACAATGTTTCTCCGCATCGATCTCTCACCACTATCTGGCCGTCTGCCTACTCTCGCTGTGGCTTTCCTCCGACGACATCCAAACTAAAACAGCGACGTGCGCTGATGGGTCTCAAGGCTACTTTCATATGGCAACCAACGCGTCCTCAAGCGACTACATCTTCTTCCTTCAGGCGGGGTCAGTGTCTTGCGCACACGACGCAACACTCTGCGAACGGCAGATTGAGGGCGCGGAAATAATAACCACCGGTTCCGAGCGTGAGGTGATTCTAGGACATAACCTGCTCTCGGGAGACGCTGCAGAAAACGCCCTCTTCAGCACGTTCAACCGGGTGTACGTGCCCCACTGCACGGCCGACATGTTCCTGCTCGACACGCAATCAGACGACGGGCAGCTGCAGTTCCGGGGGAGGGCTCTCCTTGAGTGAGTTGTCAAAGTCGCAACAACATTAATTTGTGCACGCTACTGCTGTATGTAGTCTATAGTACAGACAGAAACAGACAAGATGCCCCGGCCACGGGCAGATGTGTTGTGATTACTTGCACTCATAGTGCGGATGGAACTACCCCGCACGGTCAAAGGCTCTGGTGTTGTTGGTGATGGGGAGATAGGGGAGGAAACCACAGGCATAGCTGAGAACCCTCGATGGCAACAGGGTCTGCGTCCTTGCGAGACCGAACAGTACTTTTCTGCGCCAACAACTTCGCTCCCCCGACACTTTCGTCTACGAGGCGATATTGGACTGTGATGAGCAGCACCTTTCTATTGTTTGTGGATATATCTCAAATGGGTATTCTCTCTGTGTGTGTATTCATTTTTCCATAATTCTTTGAGTTTGCGCAATTCGCCGTAAGGCATTGTCGGTAAAATGTTTTTCGTAACCGTGTGACAGCAGTTCATTTATATATTATGTACAAAGACAAATATTATTCATCGTCGTCCTTCTAGCCAGCACCCAGTTTCAACCGGTGTGCGGGCCTCGCCTCTCTTCATCAAAGGCCGAGACCTGGGTAGTAGACAGCTGAACATGCAAACTATATCGAGCAAAACCCAGTAGCCTTCGCAGAGTTTTTCTGCTAAGTAAACATGTTGGATAAAGTATGCAATCAATCGAGGAAGTCGGAATAGGGTATGCGTACCCCCTCCCTGTTCTATTTCCTCAATAAACTATGGTATTCATTTATCGCGAATGCCGCCCAATACCGAGGCAACGGCTTCTGTACTGACTGTTCTGTTTGTTCTGGCGTCCCGGGCTGAAAATGCAGTGCGTTCATGTCGATCTAAACGGTTGTTATGTACTGATCTGCCGTAAAGGCAGAGGTACGGCACCGGTCGGCGAGATTGCACCGGGCTGCGTGCATACAACACCGCGGTAGAACCAGGAGGGCCACCATGTGTATTTGAGAGGGCATCGCACCCATCGGAAGATAGCACAGGGAGGGGTGCCTGGAAAGAATCTTCACGAACTTATTTACTGCTGTTACGGACTGCGTCGGAAATATGGAACTCTCTTGCAACGTTCCTTTTTTAGTACATTAATCTTGTGCCAGTTGCTAAATCCCAAAATCGAGCACAAAGACTCGGTCCGTGGTAACAAGAATGCTAGAACCATCAGAAGAACTAAAGAACACGCACACTTGAAAAAAAAAGGGCAAGAAAAAACCGACAAACCGATCCCATCCGATGTCATCTCTTCCCCTCTTACGGTACCCGCTGAATAGTTCCCGCTAGTTTTGTTTCAACCTCCCACGCCGAAACCGTTACCACCGAAAAACGCAGAACAGCCTACCGCCGTGCTTCGACATGACCACCTCCCCCTCCGTAGTCGATACCGCCGAGAAAGTGCTTGCAGCCAAACTGCCGGGTGGCGGTATTGCTGCTAACCATATCGTCATGTTTACACCTACCTCTTAACTACGTTGTACCGCCAAGAAACCCGAAACTGCCTACGGCTTCTGAGTTGCCACCGGAAGCCTTAGCCACCACGCCTGTGCCCGCAGCAGTAATCGTTAACCATTGAAATCAAATGAGGTCATTTTCAAGCTTAAAATTTTCAAAGCTTCGCATCCGACGATCAACTTGTCGAGTGCAGAACGCGGTTCATTGTCTGTCGTCTGTGTGCGCTAACCACGCATGAGTTAAGCTTGTTTTTATTTCTGGTCCCGCTGAAATCGTCCCACCATTCGATTGGCAGATGAATCTAGCATGAAAAATCGCAATGCTTGTTATTCACGTCGTTAGAGAGCACCAGATGCTCTGGGGTCAATGGACAATGGAGACCTGGAAACTCCCCTCCAAGCTCCATCCATTGCTGTTGCTAAAGAACACCGTTTCGGCTGAACCACCGCAAAATACAGGGAAACGATAAGCGTGGTTCTCAGCAATGCTACGCAAAACGCAAGCGTGGTTCTGGGGGGGTCGACAGCCGGGGGGGTGGGTGCGTTCAACGCTGCTAGGTGGCTTCTGGACTCATTCGATCAGGTGTGTTGGACGTGATTCGATCAGGTGTGTTGGACGTGCCTCTCTTTTTTCTGTTCATGTTGTTGCTGTTGCTCTTGTCCTTACACGCGTTCTTGGCCTACCTGAGACCAGTAAATGCACAAACCACAATAAATGACGAGGTTGTCATTCCACTCCCTAAGGCGGGGGGCAAACAGCCGCCCGGGAGGTCCCTGCAAAAAGCAATGAGAGTCGAAGCCGCTTGTCAATGCGTCTGTATTGACCTGCTGACTGCGTGACCATGTGCATTATGTCGAAGTGTTCTAGGGATATTGACGATGCTTCGGGCGGAAGGTACCAGGAGGAGGACAAGGCGGGCAGAACCGAATGTATCGGGTTACGGAAAATGAGGGTATCCTTTGTGGGAGACGATACAAAGAATCCCTCATGTTCCCCTTCCTATTTACGACGAAGTGGGCACGCCAACCCTTGTGGGTGGTGATGCAACTGTTCGATCCCCTACTTTAATGAGGAGAAGAACTGACCCAAAAATACCGGTGTATCGGTACCTGTAGTTGGCAACTAACGAAAACCGTTGTCATCGAAGAGCATCAATGTACATTCTTCCCTCTCGAAAGCATTGCGTGATCAACAAACAAGATGCTCGCTCTACCCCCGACCCCTCCTGCCTGCCCCTTTTTCTTTTTAAAGGTTGTGGAGCTAAGTGTGATTATCGACAGCGCCTTCTTGTTCGACATCCACGGGTACATGATGCCATTCCTGGAGTACCTGCAGGCGAATCCGTCCGCAGCGTATTCTTCACATTGTGCCGAGGTGAGGACCAAAACATGCCTCCTCATGGGAGCAAGTCGTAACCACGAAAAACAAACGTGGGTCGAATCGGTTCGCGTTGTATGGATCGGCCGTTGAATGCGCAATCAATTCGGTAAGGACGGACGTGCATGTCTACCGATAGTTGGGTCACGCGGCTGCTGAGTTGGACGTTCACACGCTTCCGCCCCCACGAAATTTCCAGGAATTCTCCGGAGGGTCTTGCTGCTTGCAGTTTGTGTGCATGGTTCAGAAAGGTTACTACCCATCGAACTCGGTGACAACAACATCAACAGCGATCTACCCGGGCGAGGGTAGGATTCGAGGGACACTCGCTCTCTCAAGCTCACAACATCCTCAAGAGGCACGGAACTTGGTCAGCCAGCTTGGAGCCTCGACGACGGTGAGCAATGACGTGGCGCATGTTCAGAGGCCCAAACACACAAAAGGGTAATTACGTTGTCCTGCACCACCGATAGATACACATGGCGAGACTGACACCGGGAGGACACGTTCGGAGCGTACGGTTTGTCACAAACATCACTGTTGTTGTAAGAGCCTTCATCGTATCACGAAAGTGTACTCCTGACACAGATGGGTCAAGTTTATCAGCGATTTCCTTAGAAACACCAGGCATAGTGCCATGCTGCCAACTTGGACGGGTTAAACGTGGTACATACTGCAGGCGTTTGCATCAGCCCGCACTCTCTAGAAGCGTTTCCGCAGGAGGTCTGTGAATGGGCGCAACAGCGAACGTTGGTCTATTGGTTGCGTTGAGGTAGCTTGCGGCACTCGCGGTTTAGGCCGGTGTTACGATGCCGCCTTCTCAGCCACAACAAGATCTCGTCCCGGTCAAAGTTGAGAAATGTCAGGATTTGCACTCCTTCGTTAGAGGCATCAGATGTGAATGGGCAAGGGAGAAGCGCCCTTCACAGTTTTATTGTGACGTATCTGTGTGTACAGTGGTGGCTCCGATATATACAGGTGTTTGCGAAAAAGGTCCTCAACCCTCTTATATGGCTGCCACGACTGGACTGAGATGGGGGCCGTTCATTGGTGACCGCTGCTTGCCCTGAGGCTCACATATTGTAGCGTGATTGATCTTGTTCACAGATGACCGACTCTCCCTTTTCTGTGTACGCCCTTGTTCGGCGAGGATCCATGAAGTCCCATGTTTTCATTTTTCGCATGTCCCACGACCCCTTTCCCCCTGGTGGCACGTTTTTGCTTCTGTTTATTTCTCTCTCTTCACGTAAGGATGGCGTCGTCATTTTGGACGCTGGACTTAACCACGGAACCATCCGACAGACGGAGCCTTCCCTGCGCGAGCTGGCTTCTCTCTACCCCGGGGTAAGACGCTGATTGGTTGGCAAATGTAGGACCTCCGAATATTGATGCGATATGTTCTTCTGGGGCATCTCTTCACCCGGTTGCAAGCAGTATTGTGTAGAATGTTTCCTCTTAGCGCCCACGAGGTCATGGGGGTTGTTGATGGGCGATGTCCGTGAGCTTGCGGGCTCTCGGCCGTGAGTTTACATCGTTTGGGACAGCCGCTGGACACTGGATAGTACCGCGCAAGAGAAAAACATCAACTTCTGAACTGCTCCATTTGGAAAGTTTTGACCTGAAGTATGTAAGCATGTTGTGTGTTGCACACGAAGCGACATGTTCGCTATGTGTGGCGCCTGTAAATGCGCGCACCGATCGAAACTCCTTGCGGTGCCTGAATCATTGTCGTGCCTACGGAACGCAAACGATTGGTTAGCCGGGTTGCCGAATCAACCCACGGCGTATCTGCTCGGCACAGAACACCCAAGGGTGATGACCAACTTGTACGTAGTTCATCCTTGGAGCGTACCCTGCGTCGGCGAAACCCCGACCTACCGCTCCGTCCCGGTATTGTACGGATGCGAGGTCAATGGTCTACCGACCACGGTATTATGTTACCTGAGCATAAGTGTTACACCCTGTAAGCACGAGCACGAGACACGGACCGAACTGTTTAGGAAACTGTAGGACATTATTACCCCGACGGCGACATATGAACGCACACGATTGGAACTAGTGGAACAAGTACGCATAGCCCAGAGCGATCTAGACGTAGTGGGGGGCACAGAAGATGTGGGAACTTAAATACGGACATGCCGTAAGGAAAAGAGCGAAATACCGTTGGGTAGGAAAGGCAAGAAAGAGCTTAGACCCAGAGAAAAGGGGGGGGGGGGTTCCTGATCAAGGAACACTTGTCTGTTGTGGCTGAAGTAGTGGTAAATCGTAGCTCGAGGGGAGTCTATCGCGAGACAGATTTGTTTCTAGGGCGTATATGTAACACCGTCGTCGAAGAAGGCCGCAAGCAGCACAGGAGAATTTTGAACTTATTGCGGGAAACGTCCAGAAGTTCAAGACAAAGTTTGGGGGGGTAGGGATAACGACGACGACAATTGAAGTTTGAATACGGTTCCGAGTGCAAAGACCGGATGCATGTAGATGCAGACTTTCTGTTTCACGAAAAGGAGATGGAGATGTAAGTGACTGAACTCGGAAAAACAGAGGGAGTTACAGAGAGATGTTTGAGGCATGAAATACGCAGGCGAACGCGTGGGGGCAAAGTAACTGGGCCGAACAGGCGGGAAGTGATATTGACAGTTAGATGGACGACATGGAACGGAAAACGTTGTTGAACCACTTACAGGCAAAGCAGGAAGGAACGACTTTCCGTCGGCGATCAGTCCTGTGGGAATAATTCTCCGTCCTCTCGAGGACGCGTGATGCATGGGCTAACCGCTAAGGCACAAAAAACATGAAGGCCACCCGCCCCCGCTCCCCGCCCCCGCGTGCGTGCGCCCCTCTGTCTCCCTGTCTGGAGCAGGAGCTCTCTGTGTATTGTACCGGCTGTGCGAAACGCAACCTGCTGGTTGTAGGAGGGATGGACGCATCCACATGCCTATCCAAGGACCAATCGACACGCTACCCTCCACGCGTGAGAACATGATCCCCAAACCTGGGGAGACGGTCGTTGGTTGGTCGCCACGGTGATTGTCTCGGGTTCCGCCAGGGATTTTTTGTGTGTAGAGTGGGCACAGCACGTGACAGGTATCTTAGTGGTTTCGGCGCCGATATTGTGGGGGGGTGCGCAAGCACAATTCTGACTGAAAATGGGGAATATTTTCTCGAGTGGCCCATCGCGACACGTGTGGAAAACACCTTATTTCATCCGGTATTTTTCTTTCCTTGCCGCATGCATGCATCCCTTGTTTCACCGTGGTCATGCCACCAATCGGCAGGCGAGCTGCACCTGCCTCTACGGAGAGGACGACCTCGCCACGACTCGAACGTGTGAGGGATGGTGGTGGGGTAACGAAGGCGACACCGGGAATGGATTGAGGTGGACCGCAACGCAGTCGGTCGACCAATGGGAAGCTGTCGAGGTTTGTATGTGAACACATGGAGAGGGTGGCACTACAGATAAGGTCTTCTAATGGATCAGGCTTTCATCTGACACATTGAACAACAAACTTGGCCCTGGTCTAACTCGTAATAATGCACACTCTAATTGGGTACCTGATGTTGTGGTCTACGTAATAGCAGCTACGGCGAAGAACATGATCCGCATCGCTTTCAAACATTATGAAATGAATGCAGAAGCTTGAGTTGCCTAGGAGGCGCGGCACGCAGCTTTCTGTAGCAACCCCACCTTGTCTTTCTTTTTCAGTACCGTAGATTCCCCCAGGGATGATTGCTCCACCCTCATATTTTCTTCACCTCATCCATTGGGTCGTCGATGGTTTGCTTGCTTGTCGGATCGTTTCTTGCAGATCGGGGGCACGACCGTACGTAGCGCGATCGAAATGTGGTGGAATGGGCGCGGGAATGCATCTGAGCAGGTAAAAGCACTTGGACATCTACTGCGTACCGCCCCCGTTGATATTAAAAAGGAGCACTTATCACTGGTGGCCAGAGGCAGGTTGTGGGTTGGTTCGGGCACCAACTACAACCTAAGGGGGGGAGGTGGCAGGGAGGTTGCAACCCAAAGTGTGCAAGTTATCCCGCACCTGGGATAGTGGCGTCATTCCAATCAACACGGCGGGCTGCAAATGGGTTCAAGGTCGAACTCGGCCTCCCAACCTCCCCCCCCCAGGTTATGGTTGGTGCCCAACCTGCCCCCCTGGCCACCAGTGTTGCCGTGTGAGCTTGTTTATCGCCTGCTGTTGTTTGCGTGTTTGCGTTTTTTCTGCCGCTGCGCGCCGGCTGCCGGGGTTATTCATCTTTGCTAGGTTGTTTTGTTATGTTGTCGTGGTTGCTGCCGTTGGGTTCCTATCCAATGTTCCTTGTTTTGCTGTCCAATCGCCCGCACGATCCATCGGAAGTGCGCCTCAATGACTTGCCATTAACGACCAACAATGACGACGTCTCAGGTTGTTCTAATCGACGACTGTGAGGGCATCGACTGCAACTCATCCTGCCCAAGCGAGCTCCTCGTACCGGGAAGCCGCAGCGAGGACAATAGCCTCACCGTACTGGTCGTCGTGACCACCACGCTAGCGTTCTCCGCGGTGGTCCTCGTAGGAGGTGCGATCAATGCTTTCTACGGCATCATTATCGTCCTACACCGTAGAACACAACAGTACGTCGATTTCGTTCTGTGAAAAGACGTGCGCCGGCTATCTCAGTGACCCTCTTCGTGCAAGTGATCTGCTGTGACGTGACAGCAGTGTAGCAGACTCTATCAATTCCTCAACTGTAGATTTATCTGTAGGTGAGCTCCTATCGCTGCTCCTCTGTCCTCTGGTGGTCTCCCTCTGCTTTCCGGTTTTGCTTCTAAGAACGGCCGTTTTTCTTCCTAGAGTATTCCCTCATAACAGAAAATTCGCAATCTCTGCAACGCCCCGTTCACAAACGCAATATCTCATTCGTTTCGACGTTTCTCACCTGATCATGACTTGAAACCATTTCACGGCTGTGTCTCTGCGAGCACTGTCATGTTGTTGCTGTTCGCGTCACACGCAGTTCCATGGAATCATAGTGCTTTGGGGGCTGCTACCATCGCATTAAAAAAAACGGTGACTGTCGCACAGGATGTTCGTCGCTGGTTTGGAGCCTTCTCCAGTGGAGACGGGTCATGAAGCTGGCATCCAAGACGCGAACTTCGTTGCCGCTGGGAGCTGCAAACAAACACAACAACGTCAGCAGTGAACACCGTAATGACGACGACAACACTTGCAGCACAACAACCAGCAACAAGAAGATTCTTGAGTGGAAGGCACTCAGCCATTGGATCCCACGAAACCAAGGGTAGGGACAAACACAGCGTTTTTCAGACACCCAGGGGGGGGGGGTGGGGAGAGAGATTGGAGGGTGTCCACCACATTCTCTGCGTTTTGAAATCGGTGAATATATGTGCTGATTTGACTATCGCAAAGTCGGATGTGACGACAGGGAACGTTCTTCCTCGATCATACATTACGTCGAACCTCCGTATCGCCTACCTGCATTTATTTCAGGTGCTCACACGGCGTGATACCGGTCGAATTCAGTCAGTCGCATGCCGGCACGTTCGATTGCGGTGCGGTGCATCACCATTCGCTTCACACCGTACGAAGTATTCCGTGCCGAAACCGCAACGATGTCCGATAAGACAGTACTTACACATACTCACACCTTTGTAAGACGACGTCACTCACATCGTCATACGACGAAGTGATATTGCCGAAGAACTCTGAAGAAAACGTTGAGAGTATAATGGCATACCTCAGAAACGCACCTCAAGTTTCCTGGATGTACCTCTAAGTCGTGTACCTCGTCACACCCTCAACGAATCAAGGCTGTTCAGCAAATGCGACAAGAACATGTCCGGCGAATTTCAGCAGCAGCTGTTTTCGGTGGATGGCTCAGTTCCCGAAGGGGCCCTTTGCGCCATCATCGGGCCGACCGACAGTGGTGAGCAGCTTGGCTCACGACAAGACTAACGCGCACATTCCGCCCCTCTTCATCCATGCCATGGTAACCGTGATGTTGATGAGTGTGCTGGGCACATGATACTTGTGATTGTTTGGTTTGGAACCTTGCCCTAGATCCAGTGGTTTCTTGTCCAATCTTCACGTTCCAGGATGGATTCCATTCGCAGAATCAAGGCGCCCGCCCTGTTGAAGTTGCTTTGGCCTCAAATAATTCGTACGAGCTGCATTCAGTGTTGAGGCTGACATATTGTCTCAACCTTCCTGACTCGTTCGTTTTAGCCTATCGGTACTCCCCCAACGCGCAAGGCTTGGCCATTTGTTTCCTCCCGGCCTGCTTTTGTCCTCGGGTATACGACCACGAGCTCCCTGACGAACATGATGAGCTTGTATGGGTGAGCACAAACAAGAGCAGGCAAAACTTCCACGTCAAAAGACGGCGGCAAGGACAACGAGATCAACAACAACACCACGACCAACACCAATGTCCCAGTTTTTCTCCAATGCCTACCTTGCAGCGTCGGATGCGGACTGCCGTATCTCGGGTCGACTCAATTGTAGTAGTTGATATTCTGCATCACCAATCAAAAACTCGTCCAGGCAAGAGCGCGCTGCTGGCCCTGCTTAGCGGGCGGCCGTGCATGGGGCGTGTAGAGGGGAGAGCACTCTTCGAAGGACGGCTCATTGAAGAACAACAGGCGAGCGCTGATTTTGGTTGTTGTTCGGGTGTCAGAAGAACCGTGCTGACTGGAGCCACGCGTGTGCGAGTTGAGGTCAATCTACATAACGTGATGGCGATGATTTGGGCGGGGGGTATGTAGGCACGATTGATTGGAGGCAGGACGATCTCGGCGGACCGTCACCGAGACAAGGGATCAATTAGAAAGCCGCCACGAACCACACGCAATGCATAGATATGCAGTGAGTACAGCACGTTACTCGACCAATCCCCCACCGCCTCTGCGCCAACCATCGCCGATTGCAGATGCCCTCGAACACAGATAGGCACTCTATCGGCTTCGTACGGCAAGGCCACACTGGGTACTTGGCAGAGCTGTCGGTGTTCAACAATATGATGTTCGCGGCCATGTTGAGGACACCTGGTAGCCTCGAGGATCAGGTCACCAAGGTGGAAACGTGAGTGTGGTGCTGTTGTGGTACGGAGTTTAGTTTTGGTATGGAGATGTGCGGCAACTTGCATTGGTGGTGAGTCTCCGTACCTCGGCCCAGCCGGTAAGATCGTGTTGTTTCCTTGTTTGATAGAAATAAGTAGTTTTCGTTCGTGGTTGACGTACTCTTCACGGGGTCTGTGATGATCTCCCGTCGTCTTCATAAAGCTTGACATATTCATCAAATCGGACGACGCAAGAACAAGAATAGAAGGGAGAACTGATTTCGTTGGGGTACGACGTCGGCGAAAATTCACGACAATGACAGCAAGGACAGGACTCCGGAATACCTTCGACGGTTTGAGGGTGTTGGATCACAACGTGGCATAGTGGGGGGGAAAGAGTGACACCGATTCGAATAGTAGGCTAAAGTTTCCAAAGGTTTTCTAGAAACGACAAGCGTCTGGGCAGCATAAAAACATCGACGTTTCTTTATCCGTTGCGCTCCTCGTACAGGGTGATCGGAGATACTGCCCTTGACGAATGTCGGGACACGAGGGCGAGTTTCCTCGCAGCCGGAGAAAAACGCCGCCTGTCTCTAGCTGTGGAGCTGCTGTCTGATAGGCGCATCCTGCTGTTGGATGGTGTCTTCTCGGGTCTCGATACCAATGAGTCCATGGTGCTGATGGAAGTACTCAAACGGCTGTCCAGAAACAAGGTAACGCGATGTCGTCGTTCTAGCATGTGGGAGGAGGTGTTTCAGCCACCCCTAGCGCCCTAATCTACTGTAGGACAGCTACGTATACAATCGTCAAGCACATTCACTGTTCTTTACCATGCTAGCTCAAGCCCTAAGCTCGCTCAAAAAGGCTAATAATAAAAAGTTCGTTCATGTATGGATATGTGTATGGTCCGAGAGCTCAAGTTTAGATGGAAGCACGGCGTTCAAGATATTCATCAGAGAGAGAGAGAGAAAGCGAGAGAAATGTACCTCACTTCCCGTCCCCCAATACCCAACGAATGGTCCCTCGCAAGAGCTTACTCCTCCATACACTACATTCTACCCCCTTTTGCCCCAAAATTACGAAGCAAGCCTGTGGCGGTTTTCGTTTGGATTCAGCCTCTCCCCCTCATCTACCGGGTTCACGTAGCTGCCGAGTGTTCGTTGTACAAGAAGGAGAGGGAAGTGTACATGGCTGAGTTGGGAAAAACAGAAGGAAGTATGCAGGGAGATGTAGAACATCGAATAGCGAGAAGACGGTAGCCGTACTGGGGCACAGGAAGTGGGATAAAAAGGCGGGAAGTGATAGTGATATCGGATAGGAGAGATAGAATAGGGAAGACATTTTTGAACTACCTTTGGCAAAGTAGGAAGGATGGTCCAACCGCTAAGGCGTGCAAAACAGTACGCCCCCCCCCCCCACCCCCCACCTTTCCCCCCCCCCGTACCCCCACTCGGTGTTTGCCATCGGGGGTGGGTTTTCGTCGCTTGGCAACGACGTTGTAAAACAAGCCAATTCACTTCGTGAACTCGGCAACCAGGTTACCGTTTTTTTTTTTTACCTCGGTTTTTTTTTTTGGCGGTAACCATAATGGTGGTCGAGTAGATCATGTTGTGCGGGGTGGAGAACCCTCACTCCGCGCAACGGGGGATGATCGCACCACGTTGTGTTAAAATGGTCAAGCTTCCTCGAGGCAGTTACACAGTGAATACAACTGTCTCTGGAAGTGAAAGCACCAGAAAATAAATTAAGTCATACGTAGCTGTCATCCGTACGCAAGGAAGTAAGCACAAGATGCCGAACACCCTTAGCAGGATGCAGCTCACCCTTCATGCGACTCGCCAAATACCTCACGGCGCTTCGCGCTTGGTGATGTGAGAGCCTGGTCCGGTGAGAACCCGGCGTGCTCCGTCCCGGCTTTGTAGGGATGCGAGGTCAATGGTCAAACGACTACGGCATGCACGACTATGAGTACACCCCCCCCCCCCCCCCCTTGACCTTATTGAAAAACCTGTGCGCATGTGTCTTTCCTCTCTCTCTCTCTCTCTCTCTCTCTCTCTCTCTCTCTCTCGCTAGTGTCGCCCCTCGCTCCGCTGGACGTGCCTGTATCAATTGGAGG